CTGCAGCGCCGCTTTCATTTGCATGGCAGCACCGAGAACAAACCCCCTTACTTACGCCATTTCCTCTCCTGCTCTGTTTCTCTCCAAATTACTTTTTTTTTTCCTTTCTCACTTTCACTCACTGTTTTATCTATTTCCGTCTTTTAGTCAACATCTCAAAATATGTACATCTTTTCTTAGTTACTTTCTTTATCTGTCTCTCCTGTCTGATCTGTCCATCCTCCTCCCTTGTGGCTACAGCATTCCTATATTATTTTTTTCTTCATTGCTGTATGAGTTATCATGTTGCTCTTCCTTCCTCATCTATTTGACAATAATTTGTGGAAAATGGCTGCCATATACTACTGAAATAAATTTAGCTGCACCTTCCCTACATCCCTTCATCATCTGCCTCCATTTTTACCTCCTCCTCCTCCTCCTCCTCATCTTTTCCTCCCGTTCCACTCCATCTTGGAGAAGAGGGGTGTCCTCTCTCGGGGGGAACTTTGGGGAAGACAAGTGATGCTCCAGGGCTCCCTAATCCTTTTTGCACTCTGTATCTCCTTCTCTCCTTCCTGTCTCTCTGTCTCGTTATTTGCATGTATGTGTCTGTCTGTGGAATTTCTGGCATACGTGCACACACACACACTCACACTGGGATCCAGCAGCAGCTTCTGCACTTGGCTTGACTTCCTGCCTCAGGCTGATCAGCTGAACTGATTCCATTACTTACAGACCCCCCTGAAAGAGAAGGAAGAGGAGCACAGACTAAGAGAGAAAAAAAAAGAAAAAGAAAAGGCAGAGACAGAAAGAGGTAGAGGGCAAAGGGGAGACTGGAGGAAGAGAGGAGACGAGGAATGAAGCATAGATGTCATGCAGACAGAAAAAAAATGGAGCAAAAGAAAGGGAGGAAAGGGTCGGGAAATAAGGAGGAAGTGAGGGGGATTTTGCGCCTCCCATGGGTGTGGGATAGACCTCAAAATTCTCATCCTGCCTCCTACAGCAAAAAAGAAGGAAAAAAAAAACACAGAAGCACATACAAAGACACACTCAACAACAACAACAACAAACTCCTGGAGGCGTAGGCAGACTAGACGAGAATTGATCTCCTCTCCCACAAGGAGAGGCTTGCAAGGAGAGAGAGAGGGAGATGGAAGAAGACGTAGAAGAATTGTTTTTACCCATGTATGGCTCTCAGGCCTGTAGGCCCCTCATCCCTCTCACTCTCACTCCCTGCTCTGTCACTCCCAACGGCATGTTTCTCTTTATCTCCCTATCTTTCCCTCCATCAATCTCCATCTGCCATCCTCCTCCCTGTAGGGCCAAACCCTTCCTCTACTCTGCTGCCTCCCTCCATCGCCGCCTGCACCCTCTCCACTGTTTTAGGTGTGTCACATCTCCACAGACCGCAGGAGAGCAGGCAGTGACTAAAAATTAAATATCAGTGGCGAAAAAAAAAAAGGAGGGGAGGATGTGAGGAAGCTCAAATCATAGCAGTCAAAGGGAAAGAGAATACAATAATTTTATGAATAAATGTTTAACTTTTTACTTCAGTCTAGATAAGCACTATTATTGGCTCATTAGTCAGTGGGAGCAGATATTTATTTGTCAGTGTGAACTGTAGGCTGTTTTGGTGGTCATTGCACCTTTCATTTACAGGAGTATGACTTTGTACATGTTGTAGCTGGACTCTGTTAGTGTTTTAAAGTTAATTTAGGCTTTCAAAGTCATGCCATCATTTGTTGTGTATGTGATACTGTACATGTTCTTGGACAAGTTAATGCAGTGTAAAGTCTTTTTTTTCAGATTTTCTAAAGGTTAACACAGAAAACATGTGTATAGTAACAGATAGATGGAAACTGTACCCACAAAGAATGTATAGACACTGTAAAATGGGAAAAAAAATTCATTTTTCATGAAATTCTCTTTTCCTTATTTCCATTTAGGGTGAATATGTTTGGGTGTTGTGGTATTGCACTTCCCATTATGCTTTCTGTAGCTCACTATGGACTGTGAATCAGTAATTATAATTTCCTTTATTTTTATGTATTTAATTCAGTAAAACCATATCTACAGTTTAATTAAAAGGTAACACATGTTAGTCGCAGTCCTTAACCGCCAGCTTTGACAAACTCCTTTTCATTAACGGCCTCTTGAACCACTTTCTTTTTCTCCATTCTTAACCATCTCTGAATTTCTTACTCTGCCCCCGCCGTCTCCCCCTCCTCACCCCCTTCTGGTCTGTCTTTCTCTCTCCAGGCATGTTGTGACAGGGTGTAGCAGTGTGTTATACGGGGTTCTACTCGCCAAGTGCATATTATCCTGTAAGGCTTAATACCCAGGTTGGAACAAAAGGGCAGGCTCAGAAATTACAGCGTACGTCGCTTAGCACTCAGCACAACAGTCTGACTCAGATGAAAACACGTGTGTGTGAACTTTCACATATGCATGCAGATGCAAGGGCTGGCGCTCGCGTGTGTGATGCCGAAATCTGACAGCCCAGTTACACACACGTACACGCAGATATCGCGACGTCTCTTATCGACTAAAATGCATGAAAGACGTGCAGTTATTAATTAATTGATGGGCAAGCAATGAATTCACAGCTTTTTTGGCTATCGATGTCCTTCTGAACACCGAAACAACCAATATATATATGGTGTTTCATTTTGGACATTTTGATCGGCATCATTAATTTTCAATTTTTTTATAGACTAATTGAAAACAAATCTGAAGAATAAAAGAATAATGAAAAATGAATTATTATTTGAAATGCCCTTATGCACGTTTTGTTTAGTCAGTTTAAACCTGTGAGCTTTGACACAACTCCCCGATATTATGCAATCTGTGTCTCAAAAAGTCATCTGGATAAAGGAAAATGCATCACAGTGGACTGTTTAAAGCACACAGAATGAGCTGGAATCAGATTAGCGGGTGATCTGCCTTTTTCTCGGATGTCAATCAATCAAAAATAAATACGCCGAGCATGTCGAAAGGTCACCTAACTGCCTCTTCTTGCTACCTTTAGCGAACTAAATTGCTGTTGACAAGTCAGCCAGGCCTGCCTAACGAAGTTTTTAAATTGCAGCCACAATCGAGATAACAAGAACGCGTTTTATTGCAGGTGTAAACACAAAGACCTATGGATTGGATATCATTACAGCATGTTAATAAAAGGCGTAAATGGGGTAAAGAAGTAAAGCCTCTGTCCTCCTTCATATCTCAGTCTTGTTAGTGTGAGTGTGCGTGTGTGTGTGTGGCAGGAAGCCAGGTCAGCCCTCTGTGTTTTAATAAATCTCCTTCGGATGGAGCTGCGCAGCCATAAAATGCATTGATTGTTGTTGCTCACATTGTGGCAGGAGTCACACACACACTCACACTCGCACACACATACAGCTTGGTTACTTGCTACACACTGAACGTCTACATACGTTCACACACATTTCGCCTATCAAAACACCGGAATAAGAGCTGAGAAAATCGGATTATTAACCGCCAGTAGTGACTCAAAAACTCTATTCAAAAATAAAATGAAAACCGACCAGAAGTGTAGCTTTAGGTGTGATTTTTTTCACACTACAATAGCTGCTTTTCATCAACAATTGAACACATCTAACAGCTAGCACCCTAAGTGTTTCAGAATAAATTTGCTGTGCTGTGACTAGGTGCTGACCTATTGCTTGGAGCTGTGTGTGTGTGTCTGTGTGTGTGTGTGTGTGTGTGGGGCACATATTTCCAGTATTCAACTATTCAATGCACCTGCGTTTTACTCGAGCTCTCTCTTGTCAACACTGCAAAGAGACGTTGAAACATTGTGTACAGCAAACAACATGTTCACACACACACACACACACATACACACACACACAGACACACACACACTGCAATAGCATTCACATAACCAAACAATCTGCAATCTACTACAAACTCTGAAGTGCACACTGTCTAAAATAACCCTTTGGGGGAAACGGAATACAAAAAGACTCAGAGAAGCGGAAAGAATCAAACACTGAAATACACTCTCCTCATCTCTTCTCGTTCCATCGCTCTCTTTTTTTTTTCTCTTTTACCCTCTTATCTCTCACATGTGCACATGCTCTCTCTATTGGCATGTAGATAAATCAGAGGCAGACCAAGAAATCACTGATGTGAAATGAAAATGACGCTAATCTGCTGTTACCATAACACACAGAGACACATGAATTATTAACACCTACAATAACTCCCCTCTCTCTTCTCTCTTTCTTCTCATCTGTCTTTCTCTATTGTGTATATCTCGCTAGATGGATGGGACAGTATCTGTTAAAAGCTCCCATGTGTTCACCTAAGTGCTGTGGTGGGGTCTTTTCAAGATGTGTATATTCTAGGGTAGCGTTTTGCTTCAGAATTTCGTGATTTTATTTTATTTTTTTTCTGGAATCCGTACTCCAGCGACACATATTTTAACATACCTATGCTTCACTCAACAGTGTCTTTTTTGTGCTTGGTTTTCTTTTTAGTAATTAGTAATTTAGCAATTACAGCTATATTGAATACAATAAATACAGAAGGCCTTGCAGATTAAGAGCAGTTCCCAATGTGTCTTACAGCTTTTGGAATAGTGAATTAAATGTCCAAAGTCATGCAAGCATCTGCTGCTAAGTATATTCCAGAGTGTGGACATTATGTTGTGTGATTAATATAAGGTTTAATTAAAATGTGTTTAAAGTAAGACTGTTTAACTTTTCTAAACAGCGGCTACCGATCAGACGCCTTCACCTGAAAGACATCTTTAGAGTGAATGTGATACTCTTTAGGCATAGAAGTGGCACAAAAGTAAGCGACAGGGCGTAATCTAAAGAAAGTCAATTTACCAAATTACAGTTCACAAGTTATATTTTCATTGCGCAAAATTTATAGTCCACTGCACAAATATTTACTCAGATGCAACATATTACGTGCAAGTTATATGCTTTTGTTATAATCACGTATTTAAAGCTTGTTGACTCACATGTTCTTTGCTCTCTCTCTACTCTCCACAGGTAACCGTTTCTTCCTGACCTCATTTGGAGCTCTGTATATCTCAGAAGTGCAGAAGGAAGATGCTCTGTCCACCTACCGCTGCATCACAAAGCACAAGTACAGTGGAGAGACTCGCCAGAGCAATGGAGCCAGGCTCTCTGTTATGGGTACGACGCAAGTTAACGTATATAATATATGAACAGATTTGTCTTTACAGTCAGAGAAAGACAGAGTTTTAGGCTATAGTCGTAACCCTCTGAACCCCCAGCAGTTTCTAGGTGCTTTTTTATTCGCTGTTGTCACTTTTTCTCACTGTGGACCCAGTTTTACTGCAATCTTAACTTCTGCATCTCTATAGAAACAGCACAACCATGGCTAGAAGTAGAGAGAATGAAAAAAGATTCCCTTCTGTGCAGTGCAACAACATTGTAATTCCAAAAATAATAAAAGAAGAAGAAAAAGTTACATTTATTTGATTATTCATTTTACAAACATTTTTAAAATACCTGGAATCAACATGTGCAACTTTTTTTTTTTAAGTGTCCACAAGTGTTGCCGCTATTGGAGCAAGTTGTAGCCCCCCATATACTGTAGATATAGATACGATGGATGTTTTGTTGAGAACATTTTTTATCTGTCTCAGCTGAGTCATTAATGGCGTCATGGGTTCACTAAGGAGTGAAGCAGTTTTAGTTTTTCATAGAGTCTGTTTTAGATGGATTTTTAATAAGAATAAAGTGATTTTGATGAAATTTCATGATGTTAAGCTTAGATTTAGCATTTTTTCCCAGTTAAAACGTATATCACATGCTTAGTTTAGGGACTACTGCAAAGGTGCAAATACAAGCTCAGTGTAATGCCGGCAGTTTTTCCAAAAAGACGGTACACCTTAAAAAACCTACAGACTAATTTTGGGGTTCCGAATGTTAAGCGTCTAAAAGTCACCTGAATTACTGAGGATTTGGAATCGATTAAACATTTCTGTGACCTACAGACCCTACGGAGTCCACCCCGTCAGTGCTGGACAGTTTCCAGTCCGGTGAGGTGCAGGTTGGGCACAGCGTGGAGCTGCCCTGCATCGCCTCCGGATATCCGAACCCCACCATCCGATGGCTGAAGGATGGGCGGCCGTTACCTGCAGACTCCCGCTGGACGCGGCGCATCACTGGCCTCACCGTTTCTGACTTGAGACTTGAGGACAGCGGCAATTACATCTGTGAGGTCACCAACAGCTTCGGCTCCAAAGAGGTGACGGGTCACCTCAACGTCATCGGTAAGTCGCTGATTGGGTCGTCTGCCTCTCCTCGCCTCCGCTGCTGCACACTGACAGCTGCAGAGTGAGGAAGTGAGATGGACAGAAGTAACAAATGTGCTTTCAGGACACAAACAGGGGCGATAGAGACATCATTTCAGGTCTGCTGGCTGTACCATGGCCACCCTCGTCTTGGACAAGCATGAGCCAGATTTCCAAGGATGAATTGTCGTTACCCCCCCCCCCACTGTGCTCTCAAACCTCAGTGAAGCGTCACTGCAGTGACAGAGAGGAACAGTGGTCATGCAGGCCTGTCACTTCGTTTACCAAGAATGTGTGAGAGAGAGAGAGGGAGGGAAAGAGTATCTTATAATGTTATCATGTTATGTGCGTTAATGGAAGAGATGTGAGGAGGAGACACACACACACAGAGGATGGCACACTTGTGTGGAGGATGAGGAGGAGGCAGAGAGAGGAGCTGGAATTTGAGGGTGGTTGGGAAAAGAGTGAAGTTAGTGGACACTGGGCAGACTGGCCACAGGGCACATCACCACACAACCCACAAACCTCCGATGACAGGGCATGCAAGGTGGGACAAACGCACACACACACAGATTTGGACACACACACATACAGTACATGCACTCATTGCTCATGAAGAAAGTCTTGCACATGCACTGTCACATAGAAACACACATTCAGCAGCCTCCAGCACTTAACACCAGCTGCTTTATTGCTCACTGACATTTTCTCCCCTTTCTGTCTTTCTGTCTCGGTTTTTCCTCGCCGCTTAGCACACACTCTCGCGCGCACATACACAGGCGATGACTGAAAAACTGACACACAGACAAGAAATACACAATCTCACCACACCAAAATATGATTTGTGTTACCTGACCAGCACAGCGTAGCTCAATAAAAATTCCTTTCGTTCAGCAATGCAGATAATACCCGTGTTGTGCCTGAGGGACGCTGACATACACCACGTATTGTACTTTCAATATTTTGGTAGTAACTTGCTTCTGTCTACATTATTCTCCTCTATTCCTTTTGTTTTGTTTTGTTAACTCTGCTCTACCTGCTTGTTCTTTCTCTAGAGCCACTGCGGGTCACCTTGTCTCCCAAGAACCTGAAGACGGGGATCAGCAGTACAGTCATCCTCTCCTGTGCCGTTCAAGGTTCCCCCCACTTTACTGTGTCCTGGTACCGTAACACAGAACCTGTCCTGCCCGATCAGCACTTTTCCATCCAGGGGGCTCACAACGAGACACTGTTCATCTCTGCTGCACAAAAGAGACACTCGGGAGCTTACCAGTGCTTTGCAACACGCAAGGGCCAGACCGCCCAGGACTTCTCCATCATACTGCTAGAAGGTGACACGGTTATTATCATGTTGGTATACAGTTATGAATGTTTGTGCAACTGGAAATGGACAGTGCTGTTTTTGCTCTCTCTTTTTATGCTAAATGACACACTCATCACACAGGCCATATTTATACCCACCAAGAATGCTGAAGAGCAAGTTATGTTATGCTTCTGCTTAATATGTGTGTGTCTGTAACTTGGATATGTGTTTACATATGGAAAATAAAAGGAAAGTCAGCTAAGAGGAGCAAAAGAGTTAAACATCGTAATATGCTGGTTGTAGCAATTCTAAGAAATTCTCTAGAAAGATGTGCAATAATGTTTTTTTTTAGGTTCATTCTTCTACTTTTATAAGGTGTTACTTTTGATTCTGTACTTATAGTGGTTCAGTCATTTTAATCCATCCTTCATCTTGCTGTAATGTTATTTGTCTCTAAATTCATACTTCTTGCCTCTTGTCCCAGACGGTACGCCCCGTATCGTGGCCTCCTTCAGCGAGCGTGTGGTGGTACCGGGCGAACCGTTCTCCCTGATGTGCGCCGCCAAAGGAGCGCCTCCGCCCACCATCACCTGGACGCTGGACGACGAGCCCGTGGCCCGGGACCTGTCGCGAGTCAGAGCCAGCCAGTACACGCTCTCCGATGGCAGCACCGTGAGCCACGTCAACGTCAGCAGCCCGCAGATTCGCGACGGAGGAGTGTATCGGTGCGCCGCACGAAACTCGGCCGGTAGTGCTGAGTACCAAGCGCGCATAAACGTAAGAGGTGCCTGTCTACTTTTCAATATCAGTCATACAGAGGCTTCTCATAGCCTGACCCCTTCCCCAACCCAACCAATATCCTCTCCTGTACCCTTCTATATCTCTACTTCTATCTCTGTTTGTGTGTCTTATGTTCTCATATGTATACTTTGATTTATCCCATGTTTTCTTTTGTTAAGTTACTGTTCTGTTTGTCTATCATTATACCTCTAAGTTGATTGTCTGCAGCAGTCTGTTTTGTTTCTCCATTAGCCCTTATATGTTGTCTATCTCATTCTGTCTGACTTTCTGTGTAGACTCAAGCTTACTGTCCTGTTGTCTGACTTACTGTAGCTCTTCACTTGTGAGTGCACACACATGCATAAAGAAGACAAATGAACTCACGCATCCAATCGCTCTGCCTATATGTACTCACATAGAAGGTAGACAAAGCGTTCAGACAGAGAGACTGTAGCTTGATATATGTAGAGACAGTGAGATGAAGTGATATGAGGGGAATGAAATGCAACTTTAGGAGCAAAAGAAACAGATGACCACAGATGGAGGGGAGAGGAGCGCTGGTGTCTTTTGAAGGAGTGATAGTAAACTCTGGCGACAGTACTGGTGATGTCACTGTCCACCGGAATGACAAGGATGAGGAGTGACACCGACGGACAGGGCTGTATCACTGTCTCCATGTCTGTCTCTCTGTCTCTCTCTCTTTTCTCCGTCCTTTTTTGTGAGATGTGTAGTTGTGACATGTGAGTCCGCTCCAAGCAGACATGCCAGGATGATCATTGGAGTGAGAATGAACCCTAATGCCAGAGAGTTTCAGCCCCGCATGCAACACAAACTGACACAAATACAGACAATAATTCATAACTGCACATGAGAAAAAAAAAAAAAAAACAGTAACGCGCTCGTATGCTGATCCGCTGGCTGAGATGTGATACATTCAACTTATCTCATTCAGTTAGGTACACAGACATAGCCGAGCACACACGTGTATACCGTGTCTGTGCTTGTGGGTGTCGGCGTGTGTGTGTGTGTGTGTGTGTGTTGTGCTGGCGTGTGTGCGTGCACGACGGTGCTGCTGAATAATACATCTTTGACTCGTCAGAGCTGCGACTTCAAAGCTCAGCACACCCCGAGAAAGGGAGGAGAGAGAAAGAGGCCGAGGAAAGTGGGGGGTAGGGGGGCTGGAAAGAGAGACAAAAACAAAGATACCAGATGAACAATGGGGAGAAGGTCAGTGAGGAACTGACGGATGATTGAGTGATAGCACCCAGTATCTTCCAGTAATGCTAAACGCATTTTGTGTCCGTCTGACTGTCTGCCTGCCTACCTGCAGCCTTCAGTCTCTGTCTTTTGGCAGTGACACATATTGACGGCATCAAGAAGGTTTTTTTTAAGACAGGGGTCTCAAACTTGTGGCCCCCTGCACGAAATCAAAGATTGGTGTTCGTGCGGCCCGCGCGTTTTTTCTGACATGCATCTGGGCGCTTATATTTTTTAACACCTGTGGGCTACCGTAGCTTAGGCACGTGACGACAACAATACGAATTCGAAAAGTAATGTGCTTCAGGATGATCACCGAGTGGAGGAAAAATTTACCCTGTTACCTAGCTCCAGTCATGTCGTTTTCAAAACCTGCCGTGAAGAGAAAGATTGGCGATGAGCACAGACAATTTCAGGAGAAATGAGAGACAGAATATTTTCTGTTGAGCACAGAGGCATCCCGATGTGTCTAATATGCACGGATAAAGTTGCGGTGCACAAGGAATGTAACATCAGACGTCATTAGTCAACTAAACATGCTGAGGAGTATGCTAAATACATGGGAAATAAGCGACAGGAGCGGGTCGCCAAACTTAAAACATCTCTACTGAGGCAACAAGATTTTTTTTAAGAAAGTAGGCAAAGAGAGTGATATGGCTGTCAAAGCTCGCTACATGCTGAGTGAGATGATCGCTACGGCGGGAAAGCCATTTAAAGACGGCGAGTTCATCAAACAGTGCATGTTAGAGACTGCGAGTACAGTCTGCCCAGAAAAAAAGGGTCAGTTCGGCAACATCAGCATTTCAGCCAACACAGTGGCAGATCGCATTTCAGACATCCATCCATCCATTATCTATACACCGCTTAATCCTCACGAGAGTCGCGGGGGGGCTGGAGTCTATCCCAGCCAACTTAGGACGAAGGCAGGGGACACCTTGGACAGGTCACCAGTCTATCACAGGGCCACACTGAGAGACAGACAACCAAGCACACTCACATTCACACCTACGGACAATTTAGAATCACCAATTAACCTCAGTATGTTTTTGGACTGTGTGGGAGGAAGCCGGAGAACCTGGAGAGAACCCACACTGCAGCCCGCATTTCAGACATGTCAGATAATATCTATGATCAACTGCTTGAAAAAGTTAAACATTTCCATTCATTCTCAGTCGCTCTTGATGAGAGCACAGACGTTACTGACACTGCACAGCTCGCAATATATGTCCGTGGTGTTGATGACAATTTTGAAGTGCTGGAGGAGTTCCTCACAATAATTCCAATGCATGGCCAGACCACCGGTCAGGAGATATTCCACCAGCTGTGTAATGCCATTGTGGATGCCGGCTCACTATGGCAGCATTTTGCTGGAATGACAACCAACGGAGCGCCATCAATGACGGGGAAGAAAAATGGACTGGTGGCACTTGTTCGAAGAAAGCTTGAAGATGGAGGCTTGGAAGAAGCCATTGCTCTGCACTGCATTATCCATCAGCAGGCCCTTTGCAGCAAATGCCTGAAGTTTGACAATGTGATGTCTGACGTTGTGAAGCTCATCAACCATATAAGATCCAGGGGTTTAAAGCACCGGTAGTTCAGTGCTTTTTTAGAGGAAATAGAGTCAACATATGAGGATGTGCCCTACTTCACAGAGGTACGTTGGCTTAGCAGGGGGAAGGTCCTGAAGAGACTTTTTGAGTTAAGGGCAGAAATTAAAGCTTTCATGGAAAGGGATGGGGTGACTGTTCCTGTACTAAATGATCCCAAATGGCTAATGGACTTAGCTTTTCTTGTTGACATCACATAGGAGCTAGACATACTGAATACGAAGTTACAAGGCCTGGGCCAACTTGTCAGTGCTGCATATGACAATGTCAGAGCATTCTCCAGAAAACTTGTCTTATGGAAAGCCCAACTTTCCCAGACAAACCTCTGTAAAAAAGTATGCTGATGCCATTGGAAAGCTACAGGAAAAATTTGATCACAGATTTGCAGACTTCAAGACACACACAGTCACTTTTCAAATTTTTGCTGATCCCTTCTCCTTCGATGTGGAAGATGCCCCCACTGCGCTTCAGATGGAGCTAATTGATCTGTAGTGCAATTCTGAACTCAAAGCAAAGTTTAGGGAGATGAATGGAAAAACAGACAAGCTTGGACAATTTTTGAAAGCATTGCCCCCCACCTCCTTGAGCTTTCCAGGATGTTCAAGCAGATCGTGTGCATTTTTGGCACCACCTATTTGTGTGAAAAGCTCTTCTCCACAATGAACTTTAACAAGGCAAAGTTCAGGTCAAAACTTAAAGATGAGCATCTTAAAGCCATACTGAGGGTTTAAACCAGATGTGGCTCAGTTGTGTGAGAAGAAGCGAAGCCAAGTCTCTGACAGCAAGGACAAGGAATAAGTAGAAGAAGCCTATGTTCTGAAGAACAGCTCATGTTCTGACTTGTTAGTAGTTATTTATTTTGTTATTAAAATTTAAAAAGTTTGATCAGTTGTACGTTTTTTGGTGGAATTCTTGATGCGGCCCAGCCTCACCCAGACACTATCTCTTGCGGCCCTCGTGTAAGTTGAGTTTGAGACCCCTGTTTTAAGACATAGTTTGCATTAATTTTGATCCAAATCTACCTACTTACCTTTTGTAGCCACTGTTGCTCAGTCACCTTATCTAGCATCACCTTCACAGAGCAGTTCCAGACAGACTATATGTTCATTAGTTACAATGCAGGGAAAGAGTTGTGTGGTTTTTTAGACTGTGCAGCTACAGAAAATGCATAGCACTTTGTTAAGGGACACAAACAAGCCATGACGTGGCTGTTTAACCTGTTGAGTTTATCGTCGGAGCGCTGCAGTGGAGCTGGAATACAGTTGGGAGCAGTTGGTCAGCATGAATGAAAACACTGTTATTATCGAGCTTACATGTAAATTCACTGCCTTCCAATAAACTAAAAAAGTCTCTAAATGAAGTAGAGAATAGTCAAGTCAAGTGTCAATTTAGTTTTTTCTCATCTGTTTCACCCACTCACTTCCCTCTCTCTCTCTCTCTCTCTCTGTGTTGCGCTCTCTTTTCAGACTAGTCATGCAGTCGGTTGCATTAAATACTGGTTTGTTTAAATGTCAGTAATATTAAATAGAATTGCCATCTCTAGCCCAATCTGACCTGTAAACAATAACACTATCACTGCTGCGCTGAAGCTCAAATTCTTTTATTGCTAGTTTGTGTCTGCTACTTGGGGAAAAGGTGTGAGGTATTAGAGAAATGAGGGCATTGAACGTGACATTTGTGTCCACTTTATGCCCTGCTTAAACTTTTAAAGGCTTATTTTAATCTTAATAAACTACAATATTCCTCTGTACTTAAAAACCATAGACCTACTTATGTCTGGGATAGGAAATATTCCAGAGCAGGAGTAGGGTGGTGCAGTGTTGGTCAGAAACGCTGTATTTCGTTTAGTGCAGCTCCAGAATCAAAATTTTTTTCAACATTCAGTCAGGATATTCTAATTTCTCTCTCTCTCTCTCTCTCCCTACACCCCTACATACTTTTTTCTTATTTTCTCCTCTGTCCACTCCCTCTCCCCAAACTCCCTTCCCCATCACCCTTCCCCTTTATTCCTAAAATTCCATGACCTGCTTCTGACACCATCAACTAATGAGCTTCTTCTCCCCTCTCTTTTCTCCCTCTGATCAATCCATCCCTCTCTCTTTCTCTTTCTCTTTCTCTCTCTCTCTCTCTCTCTCTCTCTCTCTCTCTCTCTCCATTTCTCTCTCGCTCTCTGTCTCTCTCTCTTTCACCCCATCAGGTCCTCCGAGGATTCGCCCTATGAAGAATATCACTGCAGTGGCAGGAAGAAACACTTTCATAAACTGCCGTGTGATTGGTTACCCCTATTATTCAATTAACTGGTACAAGGAAGGACTTCTGCTGCCTGACAACCATCGCCAGGTGGAGTTTGTTTTCTGCTACTCAAAGACAATAAAAAATATTTTTTTTCTTAACAGTATTGAACTGTATAACTTGAATATGTGCATACACTCAATATAGATTGTCTTCTAAAGGCTTTTGTACAGCTTTAGGTCCCAATATTATTTGCATTTTTATATGGAAAAAAATTGAATTAGAGGAAAGAAAATTGTTACATTTCATTTCACATGCAACAACTTCTCATACAGCAGGTGACATTTATGTTCCCATGTTCATATAGCGGAAATTAAAGCAAACATTTGACCAAAAAAAGAAAAACAAAACAAGGAGTTTCACTGTCAGATACACTGTGATCAAGACCCATGACTTCAACAGTCCCTGTTAGCCACTTTTTACATTTCTTTCCCTCGATATTGCATTACACACAACTATATAGAGTATATCTTACCTAATAGATTATTTAAGATTATACATGAGAGAATCATTTGTTAAAGTGGAATCACAGAAATCATTCCAAGATTTCTAGAGAGTATGGGTTTATCGGTTTATTTCTGTGCATGTTCCCCCTTTTGACACAGATTTTTTGTCCCTTATGTCAATTTAACAGATAAAGAAACAGATATTTACTCTGATTTACTTGAATAGCAGAAAAGATTTCTGCTGGATTGAAATGGAAAACTTCCAAATGGAAACAAATGAAGGCACAAAATGTGGGGGACTCCTCGTCAGACATGTTTTGATCTTAGCAACATCTCATTAAAATGCACAGCTTTGTTTATAAATGAGAAGTTTTTTATTCATTTTATCATTTTTTATCATCTCTGCGTGTACTGTGTGTCCAGGTGGTGTATGAGAACGGGACTCTAAAGCTCAGCGATGTTCAGAAGGGGATGGACGAAGGGGCCTATGTGTGCAGCGTGCTGATCCAACCACAGCTGTTCATCACGCAGACTGTTTATGTCACTGTCAAAGGTCAGTCGGAAAGGTGCCGTTTTTGAAGATAAGTGTTGGACAGTATCGCTGGTTTTCACTCATGGCTCCAGTTTTGAATTACATAGACGAAAGCATACATAGCAAAAGAAGGCACACAATCTTGAGTTCTAGCTTTGTTTTATTGTGTCATAAAATGGAAGAAGAAAATGAATGCAAAAGACGGTGATTGTAAGGAGGATGAGAAGTGAGTAACACTGGTTTGGAGCTGGATGGTGTGACTGAAACAGAGAGAGAAGAAGGAAGAAAGCTGTATGCATTGCCTCTAATAACCCCTGATTAAGGGGCGGAGTGGCCTAGTGTGAGCTCTCAACCACTCTGCAATTACATGGAGCAGGAGTGCTATTGTATAAGATTTGTGTGTGTGCATGCCATATGCACATATGTGTGTGAATGACAAAGCGTGTGTTGTGTATATTCTGCATGTCACCTTGTATGTTATTTTGCTCTTTTCTCAGCGGCAGTAGAATGACGTGTTTGTTTTAGGAAGTTGCCGAATGCGGGTTGTGCGTGTTTTGGCTCGACATTAACACGATGGGGGAATTTTTTCGGTGCTCGCTGATCTTTGTGGAGTTGCCCCTCCGCACATGCATGCATGCATGTGTGAGTACACAAGCGCGCTGGCATATGCACACATGTGCTGCGTTCGGGTGTAGGTATGCGCTTGTATGAATGTGTGCTCGTCATGTCTCTGATTTAATTAGATGAATTTTAACGAGGCCCAGATTAAATCCCCCAGATGTCTCAGCTGTAACCCCCCCACCACCACCACCACCAACCTCCCCTCATCCCCCACTCCAAACCAACACCATCACCTCCACCGGTATCCATGGCAACACCGTTCTTCCCCCTGTGGATAGGGCTCTAATTAGAGCAGCTATTATGGGCTGGCTTTAGCAGGGCAGGGTGCGGTGGAGTGGAGGGGTTGGTAGGGGGCACAGGCGGCTGCAGAGTGGGTAGTGGGCTAGTAGGCCAGGCTGCAGTGGTGGAGAAAGCTTTGGGAGTCCAGGCCCAGATGACAGACTCAAGAAATCTCGTTTCTGCTCCCCCTCTGTTGTCAAGCAGACAGATAGACCACTCGTTTATCTATCAGACTGTCAGGTGAAAATGACAAGAGTCTGAATCACGTCCTCTCAAAAATAATCTAACACTGTCTTTTTCTCTCTGCTGCTTTTTTTTTTTTTAAATTCCTCACTCCACCTCTTTCTTCCACTCTCCCACCCCATGTCCTCTCGATGCCCCTGAATCTTCAAAACGTTGTGTCTGCCCATATTCTCCCATGCTTTATATCTGACTTTCTCTCTTTTTCTCTATCCTTCACTTATTCATATCTGCCTCAAATCTCTGTCTTCACCTTTTGCTCACCCCACTCATTTAAACAACCCTCTAACTGTTTTCATTCATCTTTCTTTCCTTTCTTTCCATTCCCTCTTTGCCTTATTCTGTCTTCTTTCTATCTACCCTTTATTTCACCCTGTTGCCTGTCCTTCCCTTTTTCTGCGTCCTTGCCTTTTCTCTCTCTTGCTCTCCTTTTATCATTTATTTTCTCAACTTGATCTCTCTGTTCTATCTCTTTTACTTATTTTTTTTTTATCTCATTTCACTGTTTCCCCCCCATTTTGTCTCTGCAACATTTTTATTTTCTCTTCCTTCCACTCTACACATCTTACCCCAATACTGCTCTCCTTCCCTTTCCTCTCTTTTCTTCTCTTTCACCCTCTCTTTCTCCACCTCTCTCAGTTCCTCCACTGATCCAGCCATTTGACTTCCCCCCGACTTCCATCGGCAAATTGATGTACATCGCCTGTGTGGTGTCGTCTGGAGACATGCCCATACGCATCACGTGGCGCAAGGACGGCCAGGAGATCGTGCCCTCCTCGGGCATCACCATCGACACAAAGGAATTCATGAGCTCCCTCCAGATATCCAAAGTGTCACTCAAACACAATGGCAACTACACCTGCATTGCCAGCAACGATGCTGCCACTGTCAGCACAGAGAGACAGCTCACAGTTACAGGTGAGAAAATAAAGATTTATACATTTTGAGACCATGACAGTGATATTTAGAAAGAGATGAAGGAGAAAGGAAGAGGGTATTGTACACGACTACTGCAGAGAGAGTGTATTACAGTTAAATAAAGTTGAAGGAACTGGAAGATAAAAATAAAAAGGATAAAAATTGAAGCAGCAGAGGCTGCACTGGATCCTTCATTTCTTAGTTTACAGCTCAGTGGCATCTTTCACTGGAGTCTCCTTGCCTAGTAAATACTCACATTTTTCAAACTCCACTCCCTCCTGTTTGTAAGACAAACTTCAATTTTTTTTTTTTTTTAGATAAGGAAATTAAAATTAATGGTGCGTAAACATTTGAAGAAAGGCTCATTTTTAATGTATGTCTCTTTGACTTGTCACCCCTTACAAAAGCCAGGTCTTTTTAGCACCACTTGTCAAATATTTTCTCCCAAAACTTCACTGAAATGACTGTAAGACCTACAAAATAGTCTAGAGCTAACATACTGGGTATGAAGTAGTTAGAAAATAACTACTACAACCAGCCACAACAATAATGCTGCATGTGCAACGGAAGTAATAATCTAATCATTTAATATAGTTTTTGTCTTTTTATTCAGTTCTTCTCTGATTTTCCTGCAGTGCCTCCTCGGTTTGTGGTGCAACCCAACAACCAGGATGGGATCTATGGGAAGGCAGGAATCCTAAACTGTTCTGTTGATGGATACCCTCCTCCTAAGGTCATGTGGAAGCATGCCAAAGGTACACTAGGTACATGACCCATCTTTCATTCTTTATCTATGTGCTATGATGTTGTCTCTGTCTGCGTTTCTCTGCCCATTGTCACATTCATGGGTCCATACTGTCTAAAGTAAATTACCTTGAAATGCAAACATCGGCAGTTTACTTTATAATAATAACGTGTCTCTTGGCTGCCTCTCTCTCTTTGTGTCCAGCGGGTATTGGGAACCCACAACAGTACCACCCTGTGCCTCTGACGGGCCGTATTCAGATCATGAATAACGGCTCTCTGCTCATCCGACATGTCCTGGAAGAAGATCGTGGCTTCTACCTCTGTCAGGCCTCCAATGGAGTGGGCTCAGACATCAGCAAGAGCATGGTCCTCACCGTTAAAAGTGAGTATCTGAAACTCGCACGGGCTTTTAATGTGGCGGGTCGTGAGTTTTTCACTGCATAAATGACTGCAGTGAGGCCATCTAGGATGCTCCAGCGCTCCGCCTTGATCGGTCCTCATGCACGCACACTCACTAACTGTGTCAAACCAATGAGCCAGCTCGCAATACTCTCCCTGTGGGCTTGAACAATACGCACACATGCATACGCGGTGATGGATTGGCGGAGCAAAGGTGACCATGGACATAAGAGCACAGCCATAAAGAACGCTGAGAGAGAAGAGGTGTGTGTGTATGTGTGATAGGCAGTGAGAAAGCGAGCTACTGAGCGATTGATCTTTTGACCCTTGGGATCCGTCTACAGACAATCAAAAAGACTTTGAGCTTAATCATTATCTGCTATCAGTCTCTCTATCCTGCCCTTGCTGTCAGTAACACCCTGTGTGGTGCAATTTGAAAATGCATAGGGGAAAATGTACGAGGGGCCGTATATTTCATAGCACGCAGTACAGCAATATGAAAAAAACATCTGTAATCACAAGAGAGATGTTACGCTTTGATTCCTGGCACTTTTTAACACTTGTACACACAGACACATATAACAAGGTGCACATAAATGTATCTACTAGTTTCACTGTGTTTTCCTATCACAGGGCAGCCCCTCTCCCTCTCTCTCCCCGTCTCCTTCTGGTGTTAGTGTTATTGATTGAACCGTTCCTCTCCTCTGCCTCCCTCAATTCTGTCTGTTTCGCTCAGCGGAGAAGGAGGAAAAGAGGAAAAGAGGGAGGGTGAGATGAATAAGTGATGAAAACAAAACAGCAGAACCTTCCTCGGATCGATATTGTGTGTGTGCAAATGAGTGTGTGCGTGCGTGCATGTTGGACAAAGGAGATTGAGTGTGTGTGAGGGATTTTGTGTATAGAGTGTACACGAAAGGTAGAGTGTATCATTTTTGCCTCTTCATTCACCTAGACCCCAATGTTGACTATTGGAGAATGAGAAAGGAGGTTTATTGACTTTACCTCATTGACCACAGCTCTTCATTACTCTACTGCAATGGAACTTGGCTACTCTGAACTCCACCTTTTTAACTGCCAGTTATCCTACCTTTCTCCTCTCCGCTCTTTCACTCCTTTCTCCCTTTCGGCTTAAACCCTGCTTATTATCCACTTTACTCTTTCTTTTCCTCCCCCCATCACCCACTTGTTTTATCTGCCTCCGTCATCTAACATCCTTCTCATCAATCTGTTTACTGTTACCATTTCTTAACCTCTTTCTCCTAACCTTCACTTCATCTCACACTCCATTTCCCTTCTCCTTCCAGTCCCAGCGATGATAACCAGTCACCCCAACACCACCATGGCCAAGAAGGGTCATGTGAAGGAGCTGAACTGCACAGCCAGGGGAGAATGGCCCATCATCATCCGCTGGGAAAGAGGCGACACGGTCATTGACCCTGACCGCAACCCTCGATACTCCATTACCACCAGCCCCAATGAAAAGACCGACGAGGTGTTGTCTACGCTCAAGGTAAAAAACACCTCTATATGGTGGAGCGTCTAGTTGATGAAATCAGACAGTAATGTCTTTGTGAGTCTTATTGAGTTGACAAATTGCTTTCAGTTTTCCCAGCTGTGTGAACTTTTTTTTTTTTATTTTCATTGACTGAGGTGTGTAGAAAACCGGAGAGATTAGAAAAAAGCTGTCATATAAGCTGAGTTGTTAGGAGTTTTTAAAGGCTAGTACCAATCATGGGAAGTCACATCACCTCCTAAATACTTGACGTATGTGTTGTTGCAACCACAGCAAAGATTGTGGCTCTTTTCATGTAGAACTGTGTTTTGTTATGTCATGATTTTGCTCTGACAATGATGGTAAGATCAGCCACAGGGTTCCTCTGCTGTGATTAAAAGTAAGATGCTACTTTTGCGACAATCATAGCAAAGATGGTGAAGTCCACATACAGCTGTGAACAAAAGTTAACATACACTTTGAAACCCCATGTATCATGGCAGTCTTCAGTTTCCAGTAACTCCTAGAAGTCTTAAATTTCTATGATAAAGTGATTCAAACATTGGCATTAAAAACAATCATGTATTTGGATTCTTTCATATATTTATCATAGGTCTCCTAGAAATTAGCAAAATCTGCTGGGTCAAAAATAATCATACAGCAACTTAAATTATAATTTGTGGTGATGATGAAAGTTGTGTTAAGCCAGTTTTCTTAGTGGCTTCACTGCTTAACATCGCGCCGCGGCGGTGACAGTCGCCATTTTATTTTGAAAATCAAGCTGGACAGAAGGCACAGCAACCCTTCCATTTCGTCCAAGTTTGTTGTGTGAGACAAGAAGGGATGAGGATCTGAATTTACTTTCTTGGGAGCACAATGCTGAACTTGATTTTAAACACCTGCTGCTGAGAGAACTGGTCAGAATAGTCAAGACTCAACCAAGAATTGCCAAAAAGCAGGTCTGCAATGAAATCAAGGCTGTTGGAATACAGAAGTCAGTGTCCACAGTCAAGTGTGTTTTACATCGCCATGGGCTGAGAAGCTGTCATGCAAGAAGGAAGCTTTTCTTCCAGAAAAAGCACCTTGAGTCTCAACTGAAGTTTGCTGCTGATCACATGGACAAAGAAAAGGCCTTCTGGAGCAAAGTTCTGTGGCCAGATGAAACAAAAATTGAGCTACTTGGCCACAATAAACAGAAAAATGTGTGAAAGAGAGAAGGTAAGGCCTTTATCCCTAAGAACACCAAACCTACTGTCAAGCATGGTGGTGGTAGTCTTGTGCCCTGGGGCTGTTCTGATGCCAGAGGAACTGGTACTTCAGACAAAGTAGGTAGAATAACAAGGAGGAGGATTACCTCCACATTCTTCTGGAAACCCTAAAATAATTTTACAGTAGGTTGGGTCTTAGGTGTTCCAACAAGACAATGACCCCAAACAAAAGAGTTTTTAAAAAAGTCAGGTAAGATTTGAAGTCCTGATTTAAATCCCATCAAGAACCTGTGGACTGAGATGAAGAAACCAACTGTGTCAGAAAGCCAACAAATGTAACTGAACTGCACTAATTCTGTCATGGGAGTGGTCAGAGATACAACGAGAAGCTTGTGAATGGCTACCAAAAGTGCTAAATTGAGGGGGAAATGGCCAAAGGACATTAACCAAATATTAGGTTATTTTTTGTGACAAATTTGTGTTTCAGTCATTCTTTCATAGAAAGTTAAGAGTTGTAGGAGTCACTGGAAACTCAAGACTGCCATGACATACAGTCTTTACAAGTGTGTGTGATCTTTTGCTTACGACTGTAGCTTTGTCAGCCTGGTGATGGGTTGCTTCTGGATGTTAACAAATGGTACATAAAAAGGAGAAAAATCTACTTTTTGTGGGAAGATGCTGTTATCTAACTCATAACTTTGTAGACTTGTATTAGGGCACAGAAGCAAATCATGTGGACACACTATGCAGTCAAAGTGTAACTACTGTGGGTTTGGTGTCCGCAACTATGCTTTGGCATGAACCCAACTCAGATTTAAAGCTTCAAATGGAACATGTGCCGGTCACCTTTAAAACTTGTCAAAGGTGGCTTTCCATCTGAAAAGCGAAGTATCCATAATGTATGACTGCTAAAATGTTGCCCTTTACTGCTGGTATTTTTGCCACTAACCCTAAAAGCTGTATTTTGTTGGGCATTTTGTTGTATTTCAATTTGTAATTTAAGAATATATGTCTTGAAGTACAAGCAAAAACTGTTTGAGTGAGGTTTGTGCAATTTTGCAAAGGTCTATAAGAATACGCTTTCACCTGCTAAAGTAACAAACGTAGAGTGTGTCGGACAAAGTGCACTTTTGACATTTTTCAAGCAGGTGGGTGGCAAATTGTGCAAAAAAAAAACCAAACCTGAATCTTGGCACAAAAATTGCAGAGTACCACTTGATTGGTGACTCTTCGCCTATTGCACCTCTCCTTGCAATACAGTGTACAGAGAGTCACCTAAATACCAAACAGGCAGGGTTAGAGGGGGAAAAAAACTCTCACCAAGGCACTTCTCCATCTCAAAGCTGTGCTCTACACAATTTGCCTACACAAAGATAGAGTTGTTTGTCTCTTTGACATTTCTCTTTCTCCTTTTTCTCACTTCAGCTAAAGCCAGCAGAGCGTGAGGATTCAGTCTTTTTCTCCTGTCATGCCATCAACTCTTACGGAGAAGGACGAGGCCTTATCCAGCTCACTGTGCAAGGTAACCATTCATGTGCAAATGCATGTACTGACTGTAGCGTCTCCTCTTTAAATTGATAAAAGCTAGAAAAACCTGCTCTTCCCTCCTCACATCTAAAATTGTCTCTCTTTTAGTGCTACCTTCTCCTCCTTTTTCTTACTTCCCTTTGTTCACTCTCTTTCCCCCTTAAATCCTCAGAGCCTCCAGATCCTCCGGAGTTGGAGGTGCGAGAAGTCAAAGATCGGAGTATGAATCTTAGGTGGACACAGAGATTTGATGGAAACAGCGTCATTACCTCATATGATATTGAATATAAAAACAAAACCGGTGAGTAAAAGTAGCGCAATAGATTCCTCGCTGTGTGTGAAATGAGGATAGTAGAATAATACGCTAGGCTGTTGTGTTGCTTTTCTTTATTTCAACCGCTACAAAGCTGTTTTAAATTGGCTGTCAATGTCAAAATGTAAACAACCGCTCCACAAGCGCATGGCTCAGCACAGAAGAGCCAGCTCCTCAGGACAGGACTCAGCAGTCCACCTGCATCTCAAGGACAAAGGACACTCATTTGAAGACAACAGCGTTCAAATTTTGGCCAGGGAGGACAGATGGTTTGAGAGAGAGGTGAAAGAAGCCATCTATGTCAAACTGGAAAGTCCATCCCTCAACAGAGGTGGAGGTCTGAGGCATCATGTCTCACCTGTTTACAGTTCAGTCCAGAGATCTTTCCCCAGGAAGATGAAACCACATTCACACCTAGTCACAAAAGACCCTAATGAACCCCTTTGTGGCTGGGGGAGCACTAATGACCCATATAACAAGGGAGAGGAACAACAAACCCCCAGTTGAAACCAAAACTCAGGTGTTAATGGTTTCTTTAGGATATAAGTATCTAGAACTGCCAACTCGTCAGTCACGACTGATGAAGCCTCTTGGATGAGAGCTGAAACATCTTCAAGAAACTCAAGCAATTCCAGTTACTACAATTAATCTACCAGACCAACCATGACCTGGACAACTGAGAATCTTCACAGACACATCAAAATGTAAAATGCCCCATTTTTCAAGACAAACAAGAGTAGGAAAATATAAATTCCCAAATACATCGACAGTTGCTTTAGAAGTTGGAAAATTATGGCAACAAAAACAGCACTTTATTCTCCTCTGCTTGTTCAGATTCCTGGGAGCTGAAGCACGCCACTCGTAACATCTCCCCCACCAACAACCAGGCCAACATAGTGGACCTTCATCCTGCCTCCGTATACAGCATCCGCATGTACTCCTACAACGCTATAGGCAAGAGCGAGGCCAGTAAGGAGCTCACCATCAGCACGGAGGAAGCGCGTAAGTCTCTTGAGGGCACTGCTTTCTACTCAAAAGAATGTCAGCAAATATTTTTCCCTTTGCTTGTTGTATTAGCAATTAGCATCTGTGTTGGTTGGTATTTGTCCTTGAAAAATAATTTTGTATTGAATGTTTCTCTCAATAAAATCGAGAAAAAAAAATGCTGCATTAGTTGTTCACCTGAATATTTTAGCAAATTGAGTCTTACTGGGGACATGAAAGCCACAGGATGTTTGTCTGACATTCGCGAAATTCCTCTGCTCAATTCCTAGAGCCTGATGGTCCTCCCATGGATGTGATCCTGCAGCCAGTGACCTCTCAGAGTATCAGAGTCACCTGGAAGGTACAGCATTATAAGCATTTGTCTTCTGAACAGCTATGGAATTCCTCAGAGATTATTTGTAGCATTACCCTTGCCCTATGTCACTTTATTATGCTTTTCTATTTGCTGTCATGTATTAACCCTCTCGACCCCAAGCAGTTTTTGACCAGATTCTGCTCCTGTCGCATTTCTACTCACTGAGGCCTCATTTGTCACAGCAGTATAAAGTCCTGCACATCAGTGGAAACAGCACAACCATGGCTAGAAGTAGAGAGAACTCAAAATGGCTTCTGTGCAGTGTGTCAAAGTTATAATGCCATACATTTTGAAAAAAGAAAAACTGAAGTTGAATTTCTTTGATTACTGATTTTACAAAAATGTACATGCATGTATAACATTTTTCCAAGAGCTCACATTTATTCCTATTACTGGAAAACAATGGTGGCTCTCCAAACCGCAGATTTTTTACGACTTACATCTTAAATGTCACTTGTCTACTACCTGCTCTGTGTAAACACAGCAGAGTTTAGCCAAAAAGTCCCTGAATTTTTGTAATGAGACTGTTGATCACTGCTGAGTCCCTAATGGCTTAATGGTTGTGAGGTGCAGAATTTTTTTGTTTTTTATAGAACCTGGTTAATGCAAACTGTTACGTTTAGGCAATTTTTTAAAATGAGGCATGTCGAATAAAGTGATTTTGATGAAATGTCCTAATTTTAAGCTTAGATTTGGTTAATTTCCCCAAACGAATGGCATGCCACAGATGATGACCATCAGAAAGTTCAAAACCTGTTAATCCTTTCTGCTTTGAGACTTTCAGGTTCTAATAAATGTTGTAATTTTGGCAATTTTGTTGAGACAACATGCCTTTCAAACCCACCCACAGATTTTGGAGTTCAAAAAGTTGAGAGTGTGTCTGAATCATGACACATTATATGAAAATAAGTCTAATGTTAGTATCATTGTTCTTATGTCCTCCTTTAGGCTCCGAGGAAGGAGCTGCAGAACGGGGTGATCCGGGGTTACCAGATCGGCTACAGAGAGAACGGCCCGGGTAGTAACGGCCAGTACAGCATTGTGGAGATGAAGGCCACTGGAGACAGCGAGGTCTACACCCTGGACAACCTGAAGAAGTTTGCCCAGTATGGTGTCGTCGTACAGGCCTTCAACAGAGCTGGCACAGGGCCCTCAAGCTCAGAGATTAATGCTACCACACTGGAAGATGGTGAGGACCACACATACAACATGTCACAGCATGTAAAGAATGAAAAAACATTGTATCGCACCTTGGTCTGTTTGTAGTGTAACGTGGGCTACTTTAGTGACCAGCAGCAGCGAGGGAACAAGTTAAACAGCATGATGCATTATTTACAGTGGAACAGTAAACTGTCAGTCCGATCAGATATCACCCTACCGTCTGCTTTTGCTCTGATCTGCAGTTAGAGCACTTCTTCTGTGGCCATTGTTCTTTTTGCTTCCTGTCTGTCTGATCTCTGTCAAATCATGCCATGCTTTGTTACCTAAAATTACTACATCCTTTCTGTTCTCTCAACAAGAATGAATGTTGGCTGCTAGAATCCAAATGCTCCTTACAAATACCAAGGACACACATAGTCTCATAGACACAGTATCCATTCAGCAGCACTGAGAGAATTGAGAGCTCCGTGTATGGTGAGACATTTGGAGATACCACCATGCATCCTGATCGCTGCGAGGTTTGATGGCAGAATGCTGAGGGAGTGAATAGATGAATGAATGAATAAACTGTCAAAACACTTAGGGAGTAAAAGCCTTTTCTTAGGCTGCACAGTATTTAAAATATCTTATAACTGCATCTGGCATGTGAGAGTTTATGTAAGAAAATGCACATAATGAGAGATTCCAACTGTATATAGAAAATCTTTTGGGAAAAAAAATAAAGCTTATCTTTGATGCACACATACAGATCTTGTGTTCTTCACAATTAATTTTTAAAACTGTCTGTGAGAAAAAGAGATATCTTGTCAGCTAAAAAGCATCTAAATTGTGCCACAAAAATCCACCAACTTCTCAAAAGATTTTTTATTTTGCAGTGCCAAAAAAGAACTGTTGACAACATGAGTGATCATAAAAATTGTCCGACTATCCTCAAAAATAGAAAAATGTGCAGCGGGTTGAGTTCAGTCATTTTGGAGACATGAGTCTGGCTGGTGTGAAGCAGTAGGACAACTGACCGCTGGATTTAATTGAGTTTGTTCGAGGATCATACTTATTTCCCAGAAGCTATTATTTACTCGGCCATGCAGCTTTTCTTTTCTATTCGTTTTTTGTGAAGCGATATTTTCTAAACAAGCTGCATTCATTGACTTTTGGCCACTAAGGAGCCAAAAAAAAAACCCAAACAGTTGACAGCTGTTAACATAAAAACACGGATAAATACATCTTTAGAGTTAAAAAAATATATAATTCAAGATGACCTCTAATTCCTCTTTTTTGTGTAATGTTGAGCATCTAGTCTGTATGCTACATGTAGAATGCAGGAATTTTTAAAATATCTACAGTTTCTTTCATTTTCTATCATATGTCATCCCGCATAGAAATTCACACACATGCATCACACACATACTTGTCCACCCAGTGAACAGTTGGCTGAGCCCCATTGGTCCAGAGGAGACAGAGCCCTCCAGTTCTTTCCTGTGGCTGTCACCGTGGCGACAGTGATATTGATGGCCATTATGATAATAGTGATAACAACAAGCATACTAAAAATAATTATAATTAGCTTGTCTCTCTGTCTGTCTCTCTCTATCCCTCCGCTAGCTTCCTGCTGTAATTATCCACAGCTGAGCGCATTGTCTCTCTGCTCCCTCTTTTCATCTTTTTCTGCCCTTCCCTTGCTCCCCTTGCTTTTAACTCTCTTCCTCCCTTCCTCTGTCCCTCACCCCCATCTCCTCCTCCCTGTAGCCCCAGTCCAAATCTGCCTTTCATTATGATCCTATATTTTCTCCTCAAAATCTGTGCAGTTGTTTATGTAAGGTTCCTTTTTTTTTAAAATCATTTTGTACTTCTCTGTGTAACCCTACATAAGTCATTTTACAGACAATTTAGAGACACTCGAACCCACTCACCTGTTTATTCTCATCCTTATTTTACTTCTGGTGAAGGTGAAAAGGGAAAAAACTGCACGATGTTTTGGTGCCTTGTCATTATATAGTCTTGGAACTTAAGGTTTATTCATGCAAAACCCCTGTTTTGGTTTTCTAATCCTCCTTTCTCCTTTCCCTCCCTTCCTCCGTCCTCCTCCCCACCTCCTCTCTCCTCACCAGCTGCAGAGAAATTCCCTGGTGGACTTGGCCCAGTCTTTCTCTTTCATTGCACTCTGTCTTTCAGTCAGCTCTCTTCCTCTCTTCCTGCCCTTCCTTCTCTCACAAGTTGATTTCTGTTCATCCTCAACAGTGGGCGTTATTCAAAGGCTGAATGACTAGTGGTCAGTGGTAGCCAACAGAGAAGACACCTGGACTGGCAGGGACAGAGAGAGGCTTATACAGAGGGAGAGAGATGGTCCTATACATCAGGCTAGACACATGTCATGGGCTTTTTATCTATCGCTAAGCTGTTCACTCACTTCAGGTTTGATATGGAAATGTTTTTAAGGGTGTCAGAAATGCTTATCACTTTAGTTATCCAACAGAGCCCTAATTTTTAAGACATGGTGTCAATCTTTGGTTTAACGTGGAAAAAAATAGCTTAATGATCATCGTCAGGCTCAAGGCCGATGCAAACTCACACTGTATAGCTGTACATTGTTTAGGATATATTTTAAATCCTTTTTATCTACTGTAAATATTACTGATATTTATGCAAATATGTACAAAATTGATGCAAAAGACAGCCAAACTATTTCTCAGCAATGCGCAGTATGGCGCAGTCCTAAAACAATCATGAAATCTTAAGTTTGAATATCACGTATACAGCTTCAACAGAATTTCAATAAAGATTATAGAATATATAATCAAGTCCAATGTGAGTGTGCTTGGTTGTCTGTCTCTAAGTGTAGCCCTGTGATAGACTGGTGACCTGTCCAGGATGTCCCCTGCCTTCACCCTAAGTCAGCTGGGATAGACTCCAGCCCCCCGTGACCCTATAGTGAGGATTAAGCAGTGTATAGATAATAGATGGATGGATAATCAAGTCAGACAGTGAGGATGATGTGTCCAACCTGTAAGTTAAAAAAAAAAGTACTAAAATCCCTTAAACATCTGGCTTTGGATCAGATCACAGCAAGGAATAAGGTAATTTTTATCAGCCTTCCAGGAAACTTATCCTCTGAACCTCAACCAGTGTCTGGGAATTTTTGCTCCTGTCACATTTTTGCTCACTGTGGGCACAGTTTTCACTGCAATGCAAAGTCCTGCACTTCTATAGAAGCAGAACAACCATGTCTAGAAATAGAGAGAACTCAAAAATGTCTTCTTTGTGGTAGGACAGGGGCTGCAAGGTGGCTGAGTGGTTAGCACTGTTACCTTGCAGCAAGAAGGTCGCCGGTTCGCTTGGTTGTCTGTCTCTAAGTGTGGCCCTGTGATAGACTGGTGACCTGTCCAGGGTGTCCCCTGCCTTCGCCCTAAGTCAGCTGGGATAGACTCCAGCCCCCCGCGACCCTAGTGAGGATTAAGCGGTGTATAGATAATGGATGGATGTGGTAGGACATGGTTAAATGGTAAATGGTCAACACTTGCATAGCGCGTTAAACCGAGGCTAGGTCATACAATGTGCTTCACATTCACAGACACTCGAACACCGATAGCAGCAGAGCTGCCAGTCAAGGTGCTCACCTACCATTGCAACCAACTTAGGCTTCAGTGTCTTTGCCCAGTTTGGCACATGGATGGGCTTTGGATCCAAGCACCATTACACAATATAAAGAATACATTGCCATACAACATTAAAAAAATGAAAAACTATTTACCATTCATTTATCAAACGAACAAAGATGACTTAACATGCCTATATATTTTTCTACGTGCCTTTTTATTTTCTTTCCATACAAACTGCATATACTCATTTTTCTTTCCCCTTTTGTCTTGAAATTTCACATGACTTTTGGTCACAGTTCAGTCAGGTGTGTCTTTTCAGTCGTGGGAAAGAGCAAAGATTTTTTTTGTTTTTGACAGATTCTGGATTCTGCAGACAATTAATTTTTGGTGAATTTTTAAGGGAGACATGTAGAATAAATTGATTTCAGTGCAATATCATTATTTTAAGCTTAGATTTGGTTAATTCTCCCAATGGCACGGCACACCGCACTGGAGTACTGATGATTCTTGATGTTTTTACAATTTATAAATAAATAAAAAAAAAAAGACAACATGGCTTTCAAACCTGCCAGCAGGGTTTGGGGTTCTGAGGGTTAAGGCGTTAAAATATTCTCTCCTGTTCATCTGTGCATTTAGCTCAGCTGTCAAACAAGTTGTGATTGTTTTTCACCCTTCAATGAACAGACCTTTCTTATTAAATTAAACTGTGAAATATATACGGTTAGATAACTGAGGATACATGGTTTAGATAACTTATCTGACCTTTTCTCTCCTCTCTCTCTCTCATCTTCAGTACCCAGTCAGCCTCCTCAGAACGTGCGAGCCATCTCTGTAACATCTGACGAGGCCGTGATCACGTGGGCCGAGCCTCCGAGAATGACGCTGCACGGCGTGTTGAAGGGATATCGAGTCGTGTTTTGGGCCGTCTTCCCGGATGGAGGTGCGTTAAGCGAGTCCGTCATCCCAGCCCCAGGGTAAACTGATTAAATTAAATGGCTTCATCTTCAGTTTGACCCTCTCTGTGTGTCTTTTTGCCTCTCAGAGTGGGGTGAAATGCAAAACATCACAACCACCAAGGAGCAGGTGGAGCTCAGAGGCTTGGAGAAGTTCACCAACTACAGCATCCAGGTGCTGGCCTACACCCAGGCCGGGGACGGTGTCCGAAGCAACGTCCTGTATATCCAAACTCGTGAAGACTGTGAGTCCTTTTTTTTTTTTTTTTTTCCTTTTATAAGCTCCTTCTATACAGATAACCCAAGCAATGAACTGACCTACAATAATATGTAATTTGCCTTTATCACATCTTTGGGGCAGGTTTAAGGGTTTTCTCCTTGGTTTAGGCTTCAGTGTGGGAGGCAGGGAGCCAGCGGGGGTAGAGAGGGTCTTTGTAAGGCTGAGGTTGCTGATTAAAACCTCTTTGTGCTCTGATGTGCCATTACCAGTGCTAATGAGAATTAAGAAGCCAAAAAGTGTGTGTGTGGTGAAGGACCCTAAGGGTGTCGGTTTGTGCGTGTGAATATGATGTGTGTGTGTGTGGGGTGGGGGGGGGTTAAGCGTGTGTTTGCATGTGTACATGTCTTTGCGTTGGTTCTGCGTGCACGAGTGTACAGACGCTATTGTTTATGTGCAAGTCTAGCTCAGCACCCAGCACAAGGAGAGGGATTAATTCTTTGTGGCTTAGAGAATTAATTTTGTGCTTACACTGGCGGGCTGTGGATTACATCCGTATCCGCCTCTCCTCTCCCTCCCTGGGGCCAGTCAGAGGAGGAGGCAGGCGTCTGGAGATGGAAAAAATGAAGAGAAAGAGGGAGCGCAGGAGGAGGAGGAGGAGGAGGAGGAGGGGGGCAGAGATTCTAAGAAGTGTCATTTCAGAAAAGGCCTTTATTCTCTCTTCTTCACCATATCTCCATTTTATGAGCTGGCCTCACCGCAATAGCTCTTCAAATATGTGTATTATGTTAGTCTTTTGAGTGTGTGTGCATGAGTGCGAGTATGTGCGTTTATCAGGGGAAAACTTGAGTGTGTCTTTTTTTTTTTTTTTTTCTCCTCCCCTGATGCGGGTTGACACTGTGTCTAGGGGCAACCTCTTCACAAACGTTCTCTATCTCTCTCGGTCTCACTCTTCCTTTTGCCCTCGGTTTTGTCTGTTGCACACAGAAAAGTGTTTGCAGTGGAATTGTGCAAACAGCCAATTCTCAGCCTGCCGTTCGCTGCCTCTGTCTCTTGGATGCACACTCATGGTAGACAGTAAGCGTAAGAATGAGGATGATAAAGATCTTTTTCTTGATTTTTTCCAGGGGCCTTCACCCCAGGGGCCACATCATTTGGTCCCTCTGGGTGCATTTGGTTGAGTGCATATGTGTTAGTTTGTGGATTTTACGTTTATCACAATGTATTTATGTTAAATTTCTGTATAATTCTTTCAGGATGTTCAAACCTTCTCCTCTGTATGTACTCATAAGCATTATCATGTTGATCATGAAGAAGTGATTTTCTTACCAGTGATAAGAATACAGCGTAATATCAGAACAATCCATGAACAACTTACATTTTAAATCACACATGCAATCTTTTGTGGTTTTCCTGATTTTCATTTGCCTGATTTTGAAGCCGAATAGCCATGACTAGAAGTTAGTTTACCAGGAGCTCAAGTTAGCAGCACTTAAACTGAATTTACTTACTCCAAAGGCAGTTAACATCAGTCAGTAAGTAATACGTATTTTTTGCAAAGATTTCTTGGTAAAGCAACTGAAAGAAATTAAATTATACATAAAGGAAAATTTTAAATGAACATAGGAGGCTGGTAATGTGCAAATCCAATCCCAGTTGAGTATATATGCCTGACGAAAGTAAACATTTCACAGAAATTTTATATCATTATCTGCCAATCATTTTCTCAACTCGTGATGTTTGGTCCATAAAATATTAGAAACGTGTGAAATATTCCTTTCGCAATTTACTTAAACCAACCTTGTTAGATCACTGAACCAGCAGTCCAACCTGGAAAGATATTCAATTTGCTTCAAAGAATAAAGATATCAGGGAATATCACAAGGTGCCTAATTATGTTTATGGTAAATACAACAAAAAATGATAACTGGCTCACATTTTGTTGCTCTGCCCTCCATTTCTTTCCCTTTATGATTCAGACCCCGGACCCCCAGCTGGCATCAAAGCTGTGCCCTCCTCCGCCAGCAGTGTCGTAGTGTCGTGGTTACCCCCTCACAAGCCAAATGGAATCATCCGCAAATACACCATCTACTGCTCCAGCCCCGGGTCAGGCCAACCGGTGAGTTGCAAGAGGGGTGCAGAGAGTTTCAGGATTGACAAGTGAATGAAAAAGGGAGAAAAAGGGGGCAAGAAGAAGACCAACCTCAAACACAGCAGGGTGACGAAGGAGACAAGATCCTTTTTTTCCTGCCAGAAAATTGCTTCTATTGTACATTTTGTATGTTGCTAAGATAAAAGTGACTTAATTATGGCGTTTTTCTGCATTTGTGTGTTTGTGTGTTTGTGTGTATGTGTGTGTGTGTGTGTGTGTGTGTGTGTGTGTGTGTGTGGTCTAGTACTGCAGTCTCAGCGAGATGTGTGTGTGAAATGAGCCCTCCTCATACTGCAGTGTGTGTGCGTGCAAACTCACCCTCCAGCCTCATTTACATATCTGCGTCTCATCACGTTGCCAGGACAACCTCATCTGTTCATCAACGAGGGCAGAAAACAAGCTGAGAGGAAACACACACTCTCACTTACACACACACACACACACACAAATAGAAATCCACTCATTAATGTATCACACCAACCCTATAGAGCCACATACATATATGCAACTCATGTTTTTATGACAGTGTGAATTTAAAAGCAAGAAATATATCCCGCTTGCATACTTGCACACACGCGCCACATAAATGTACCGTTTGAGAAATATACATGCGTCTTCTTCTTAGTCTCCCTCATTCACAAATCACTCTTTCTCTCTACCTATCTATCCATCTATCTCTCTCTTTCAGTGTCTCTTTCTCTCTCTGAAGCCCCCATGCAGAGTTCGGGATGATTACTATGTAAATGAGTGCGACTGGAGAGAAGGAAGGAGGGATGGGGGGGTCAGACACACCGCGCGGGGAGTACTTTTGTTCCTCTTTTCATTATCTCGCTCTATCGTTCCCCGGATCACCGCTATCTCCACGCCGGAGGAATATTTTAATATCCGTTACAGCAACACACACTCTGTCACTCCTCCCTCCCCTTCCTTTCTCCCAACAACTACCCACCCATACATCCATCCATCTATCTATCCATCCATCCATCCCTCCATCCCTCCATCTATACCTCTGCTTGCATTGGCAAGTATAGAGACAAATGTGCAAGAGAAGATATACGTGAAAGTCAGGGGGAGGAATGCGGAGACAATGTAAAACAGAAGGGGGTACTGGTGGATGGATGCGGGAGAGAGAAAAGCGAGGAGTGGGCCTCATGGATGACAGGCAAATGTGGAGAGAGGGAAATGAAGAGATGGATGAACGGTGATGGCAGGAGGAGAAACTGAAAAGGGATGGTGCAGTGGGGGTAAGGAATAAAGAGAAAAACAGAGAGAGGACAGAGACAAGAGGAATGGATGATGAACAGGGAACACAGTGAAGTAATAAAAAGCCCAGTGGATTCCTCCATGACGACCTGCTCATAAATGTGAAAAACAACATGAATAGTGGAATCTATTTGCCCAGAATAAACCGTTCCTGCAGAAAACAACCCAGCAGGCTAAGGACAGAGCTCGATAAAACCACTGCAGTGTCTTCACAGGTTTTACTGGTCTGGCACATTTTACTTGACTCTTCAACCCGCTTGACACTTGCATCGCAGTCTTCATTTCATCTGTGCGCAGGTGCCTGTCAGTCAGAAATGTGTCAAACTGGTGGGGTGTAGTAAAACAGGATTTAGGGAGTCGAGAGCGAATGTTAGGCGCTACCTTATGTGTGTGTGTGTGTGTGTGTGTGTTAAATTGTGCTTTCTTTCTTTTTTTTTTGTGTTATTCTATTTATAGTGGAAAGCGGCAGCACAGCAACAGACAGAGCTGCTGAGAGAGAGGAAAATGTGAGTGTGTGTTACCTGGATGTTGGGATACCTGAGGAGTAGGTGAAGAGTAGGAGTTGAGGGAATACAGGTATAATTGGTGGGTAGGTGAATGGTGACTGGCAGGCAGTAAAAAAAAGAGAGGCTGTGTTTGTGTGAGTTTGTGTGTGTGTGTATGTGTGTGTGTGTGTGTGTGTTGAGGGGACAGTGATGCGTATATGTCTAGACAGCAGACACATGGCTGGGTTAAACACACTGCAATTACACATCCACCTCCAGGTCATGTATGTCACTGTGTGGGTCCGTGTGTAGATCCATTCATGTTTATTGCTGTGTGTAACCACTCCTCTGTATCTGTCGGTTTATATGACTCCCTCCTCTCCTCTCCTCTCCTCTCCTCTCCTCTCCTCTCCTCTCCATCATCACTGATGCCTGCAGTAGATAGGCCTCATTAGTGTATGACTGTTCATGATATCTCTGACTGACTCATTTGTCTGTCCCCCATTGTCTTCCTCTCTCATATCTCTGTTTGCCCTCCCAGAGGAGAACGGGGTGGGGATAGCGAGTCGGCTTTACATCCCCCTAACCAACCCTCTCTCCTCACCCTCCCTCCAGCTTCATCTTTACTAACAGTTTTGCCTTATACGTCCCAGAATCTGTCTGCCTTCAATCTCTTCCTGATCTCTACTCCACTTGTACAAAATTGACAAGAGGATATAGGGCTTGGTTCACATTTGCCTCTTTGGAGAAGCGATCTTGTCTTTATCATTCCCAAGATTTCATTTTGTGCCAAGTAGGCCATATGATAAAATGTAGATTTTCCAAGAGACCAAAAGGCAGTTCTTTATTGTACAGGTATTTAAGCTGCACCCTCTAAATCCTGAGCAGTTTCTGAGTGTTTATTGCTCTTCTCACATTTTTCCACCACAATATGAAGCAATGCACCTTTATGGAAACAGCACAACAATGGCAAGAAGTAGAGATAACTCAATGATGTCCTTTCTGCAGGTATGACAAAGTCACAAAGCAGTAAGCATATGCTAGTTCAGCTGAAAAGTCCTTGATTTTTTTTGGTTCCTGACTTTTGGTTGCAGCAAAGTCAATCGTGGCTTCACAGTTGCACCAATGTTTGCACAATTTTAGATTTTTAAAGAATTTGGTTACTGCAAGTCGTTTTTCGTTTTCAAAACTTTAAATGAGCCATATAGAATAAAGCGAGTTGATGAAATCAAGATTAGATTTGGATAATTGTGCTGACAAAATGGTATGTCGCCGATGAGTAGTTTGTGGACGGACCTTTAAAGGTGAAAATGCAATTATTCTTACAGTTTCTTTCTCTGGTGAAGGGTATAATTTTGGCAATTTTTAAAAAGATAACGCCTTTCAAACCTGTCAGCGGGGTCATAGGGTTAGAGGAAATGTACAGTTCCATCTGTATTCAAACCAGTTTGTTTGAATACAGATTCCTTTTTGCGATTCCTTATTCTCTTGTGTGTGTTTTTGGCTATGTGTCCTTATATGTATTCCTGCTTGTTTCTACAAAACGATACAAGTGAAAGAGCACCAGACCTAAGTGAAAGGATTTCTGATTTATCCTCCTGAATTAACACCTTCCTTTCCCTCTTTTGTTTCCCCCCCCCCAGCTGCCAAGCGAGTACGAAGCCAATCCAGAGCTGCTGTTTTACCGAATCACCCATCTCAACCACCGGCAGCAGTACCTGATCTGGGCTGCAGCCGTCACCACTGCAGGCCGGGGTAACTTCAGTGATAAGGTCACCGTGGAGCCAGCGGCCAAGGGTGAGTTCCTGAATATGAAAGGGAGAGTCATGAATAGAGAGGTTAGAGTCCCTCAAACATTTTGCACGAGTAGAGGTGTAGTAGTAGTAGTAGTAGTAGTAGTAGTAGTAGTAGAGGCTAAATGATTTGTAGCTTAGGGCTGTATTTAGATGCATTCACAAATGTTCTCATATTGAAATGTAGATAAAACTTTATGTAGGTGCTTGAAGAAAACCTATAATGTCTAAACAATTTCAGACAGACTATAACTTGGAGACCTGAAAACCTGAAGGTTTTTCTGACCTATAAAGCACCCACTGTGTAGTGGATGGGTAAACAGTGTCTTTTCCAAAAAGCTTCAATGAAAGGCAACAAGACTCCTCTTTTTGGTTTTTGAAGACATTTCAACTCTCAAGGATCTCTGAGTCAACTCTGCTGTTTACGTTTGGGTATTTTTTTTCTTTTGTATTTATTCTCAAAGTTGTGTACCAAGCCAAATGCTTACGAACAATAATCAATAGTCAGGCACCTGTCAATGAGAAAAATCCAGCAAAGTCGTGGCTGAAAACTCTTATTAATTTCTGAACATATCAGACTCCTAAATATGACTGGATGTTCGTGCTGACTTATTTTCATAGAACGCTCATCCAGGAGGCTTCTTCATTCTGACCTGAAGCCTTTTGCCTTTTGAATGAGACTTAGAACGCCTTCAAGAACCACAAAGAGAAGTCCGGTTGCCTTCTGCTGAAGCTCTCAGGGCTGCCGTGACCTGGATGACTGAGACTCCACGCAGACAACCTTTATATTTCCTGATTTTTCTGGCTCTGTCTGTCTTTGCTTCCATCCTCCCTCTCTCAGGAGCTGTTACGACACTGCTACAGTTTGAGTAGTGCTGCTCTTCAAACCTCTTATTGACACTGTTATGAACTAAAAATAACAATTTTAAAGGATGTTTCACTTTACATCCCTCATTTCCCTTCTTACTCTGTCAATCGCTCTATATGCTGTGTCCCCTTTTTTTTTTTTTCTTCGCTTGTTCTTCCCACTTGTCCTTCTCTCCTACATCATGTTTTGACTTTGCAGGGATGTGCTATTGATTTCAGAGTTCATAGGGCAGCAGATAAACTGCCCTCAAGCAGGGAAATGACAAGAGGGGGAGCTAGAAGAGGACAGCAGGTGGAGGGAATAAAGAGGAGAGGAAATGACACAACAGGAACAGAGCTAACTAATATGCAGGACAATAGAGATGCAGAGTGTTTAAGAAAATGAAGATGGCAGTTAAATCAATAGGCTTTGGATTAAAAGACAGGAAGAATAAGGGAGCAAGAATGAATAGAGTGCACTTTCCACCATGTTATCCTTTCCTTTATCTGTTCATTCCTTTGACTCCTGGGTGCAAAGGTTTGTTAGTGCGTGCTCATATGGGTGTGTGCGTCAGCTGATCGGCAGCTGTAAAAGGCAGTGTCCTCCAGGCTCTCCCACTCAATACTTCATTCAACCTTAACGTAAGTGCACTAGAGCACTAGCATTAAGACGGCAGGCTTGAGGAAGAAAGAGCGACAGAGAGCGGGTGGGGGAGTGACAGAGAATAGGAGGGTTATGTGTCTGAATGGATGGATATTTTTTTTCATGTCCCTCTCTCTATATTCTTTGTCCTGTCCTTTATTCTTATTCATATTCTATCATTTGCTGGACAATGTCACATTTAACACAGATTCTGACTCACAAAATACAACAAGTCTTTCGTTGTAGTTAATTCTGCTTATTGAAAAACAACAAATCAATTCATGCATATGCAGGCATTTATGAATTTTACATTAACAATCACAATGTATTGTTTCAAAACATTCTCATTGTTTATTTGGATGACAAGATTAGGTGATTGGCACATATTTCATTTAGTGCCCTTCTTGTATTATGGTCTGTTTAACTGTTCTCATGCTCTTTTTTTTTTTTTTTTTTAGATTTCTCTGACTTTATACAACTTTGATTTTTATATTTCTCTCCTCATCCTCCACCAGCTCCTGCTAAAATCCTGTCATTTGGGGGCACAGTGACCACTCCTTGGATGAAAGAGGTGCGACTGCCCTGTAGCTCAGTGGGAGAACCTACACCAACTATAAAATGGACCAAAGACAGGTGAGAATCCAAATCCAAATCCAGAAATGTGATATAGAGATGAGTGCATGTGCTGCTGTAGTCATGATGTCATGTAAGTACTGTGTCTTTGGAAAATAAAACTCTGAGTGAGGATAGAAGTCTGCCACTGGCCATGCATTGCCACACTTTCCTGGTTATGTGTTACCGTTTTCAAAAGTTCTTCACGATGGGAAATAACAACTACTGGCTGGGCAACATGATTGTGCAGTAAGGCAGCTCTGATCGTGTTTTTTTTGTTTTTTTTGTGAATAATCCACTTTAATAACAGTACTTGCCTCCCTATGTGCAAATTTTCCACTCTATTTCTCCATCTCTATTTTGAGGGAACACGGTTGCTGCATCCTTCACTTAGATCCTTTCAATATGATTATGATTGGTTTAGAGAAATACAAGTCAGGGCAATTTTTTCCAACCTATAGCAGAATGACAATGAGGTGCAGAATGGGCTGGCAACGCAAGACTACCTAACACTAAGACAAAAGAATTTGAACACAATGTGCAGTCAAGTAAGTCTTTTGATTCTCTCTTCTTCTTTATGTTAGTGAGGACACAGCCATCCCAGTATCTCTAGATGGACAGCGTCTCATTCTGGCCAATGGGACTCTGGTGCTGCGCTCTGTCAAAGCTGAAGATTCTGGTTACTACACCTGCACAGCCACCAACACGCTGGGCTTCGACACTATTATCGTCAACCTTTTAGTACAAGGTAGGAAAATACAACTAACGAAACACTTCTCCTTGTCAAAAATTATCTACTGCAAGTCCAATCTAATGTGCTGTAAGTATAGACGTTGTTGTGCTGTTAACTCTTTGCGTCTCTTCCTCAGTTCCTCCAGACCAGCCTCGTCTAACCGTCTCCACAACCTCCACCTCTTCCATCACTCTGGCCTGGATACCGGGAGACAACGGAGGCAGCTCCATCAGAGGTATGTGGCCCTGCTGAAGAAATCCATATTTCTGTCCGGCCTCCTGTAAACTTGAATCACTTTCTTCTTCTCCACTCTAGTCATGTCTTAGCCCCCCTCCCCTTTGTCTTTGCTATGTCTTTTACCTGGCACATTGTTAGTGTGCATACCGATCTATTAGTTAATTGAACGGTGCCCTGGCTTTGTGTTTCCCCGTTAACTCTATGTCTGTTTGAATATCCGATTATTGGTGATCTGTGTGAAAGGCTGATGTGTTTGCCTGAATGGGCATGCATGCAAATGTGATTTCAGTATGAGGGTGTTGTGGGGTCATCAGTCTGACTCCTTGCTGCTCTTTATATCTTTATAACACTATCAAACACCAGACATGTATTGATTTTGCTGTAATGGTTTAAGACATAACTGCACCCTGGAAGACTTTTTGTACTTCATTTGATTACAAAAGAAATGTCAGCAAAAATATAAAGCTCTTTTATTTTTACAAGAAGTATGCTTAAACCCTCTAAAAGCTAGCAGGATGTATTTGTGTGGTTCTTGTGGACCCTCTGGAAGACACTTAGAGCCATGCATTGTGCACAAGGAAAGTGATATAAACTTTGGTGCAAACAGTGAATGTTGGACGTGCAGCTTTGCAAAATAATAGTGCACCACCAGCTAGTATTTGCAGACATCATGCAGTGTCTCATACATCCATGAAGCCTATGTGTATATCTTGTACGTATACCAGAATGCCTGCCTGTCTGTGAAGCCATCTGCACAGTGTCAGCAGCAAGCAATGCTGAAGTTCCCCAACAAGCATCTCTTGCATTATCACCACAGTGGCTTCTGTAGATTATCCCTTTCAGATAAAACATAGTGTGTTTAAAAAAAGAAAGTAAGAAAGAAAGTCTCCACTGGTTATGAGACATTTTTGCAGCTTTTGCAAAGATAAAATAAAAATAAGCTGATAAACAAATGAGCAAATCCTGTAGGCTGGTAATCTTGCACTGAGAATTGATGTTACGTTCTAATCTATTCCACAATAGCCTCTTATTGTGTTGTTCTAGTCTGTTATTGTGCCGTTCTGTACTGTTCTCTCCGCTATCTTCTGTTATGTTCTGCTGTGTCCTCTTCTGTTCTGTGACAGACAGAGGGTGACTATAAAACTTACAAACACTGCTCGGTCTGCACATGTTAACCCTTCTAATGTTTTGGACTCTTTCACACCATCTGTCAGAGAGAGAGTGAAGAAAAAAAAAAAAGACGGTACAAAGAGTACAAAGAAACACAGAGAGAGAGAGACATCCATATATGCATAATTATATACAGACAGAAGGAAAGACAGACAGAGGATTAGATGGAAAGTGTCTCAGAGCAGGAGGGAGTTGGCTCTCCGAGGCAGCTGATTATAAAAACAGTCACCATATTGCATACCCTCATTTGCATAGATGCTCAGTCAGCGCCATCCCAGTCTTGGGGTTTGTAGGTAACTAATGGCGGCATAGACAGAGAGCTGCTAGACTGTCCTCCAACCGGGGCTTTACTGGGCACCATGAGTACAGTCTTACAGTGCCATCTAGTGGATAGTAGAGGTGCAGACCTCATAAAGCTAAGAGAGAAACATGTATCAGACAGTGAAGTAAGTCTATTTACAGTGTCTTTCTTTATATGCAGGTTTTGTGCTGCAGTACTCAGTAGACAACACAGAGGAATGGAAAGATGTTTTCATCAGCTCCAGCGAGCGCTCCTTCAAATTGGACAACCTGCGCTGTGGGACCTGGTATAAAGTCAAGCTAGCTGCCAAGAACAGTGTTGGAGCCGGACGCATCAGTGAGATCATAGAGGCAAAAACCCATGGACGAGGTGAGCAGGCGGAATGGAGAAGGACAGAAATTGCTGTGTGTACATATACAGAAAAGTATACGTAAAGTACACATTTTCACAAAGGAGTAGGAGAGGGAATAGGTGTCAAACAGAACATTTTAAAGGCGAAAACTCATGTGAAACTTGGTCATTTGTGAGAGGTCTCTATGCTGCATTCAGCAATAAAACTTTAAATATATATAACATGGATCAAACAGTGTTAAAAACAATAGAACCAACTAAAAACTGGCAATATAATATTTCATCTGATTTTTGAAACTGTAGCTACAGTCATTCCTGTTTTGGTGCATGGGATCAAGCGGCACCCTCTGATTTTACAGCCTTGTTTGTTGTTTGTTTTACATTTTTCTTTAAAAAAAAACAACACATCAATATTCTACATATTCTGAAAACTTGAAAAAGAAAATCATAAGAACATCATATATTGTGTCACAGGTGAGTTATTTTCTTTTACCTGCGATGGAATCTGATTAAATCTAAAGAAAAATACTCAATATTGTTAACTACATTTAAAGGATATTTAATAGACTTAGCATATTTTTAAAACACAACCTCAGAATTCATTTCTGGCAGTTTTACATGAGCACATTGCTATTGCATTATTATGTAGGCATCAGTAACAGATGTGGATAAACACATCATGATTTTGCTTATTTTACAGAGCCCCAGTTCAACAAAGATCAGCCTGTCTTCACCCACATCAATTCAAGTCACGCCCGCCTCAACCTGCAGGGTTGGGCCAGCGGAGGCTGTCCAATCAGCGCCGTTACACTCGAGTTTAGACCAAAAGGTGAGTCTGCCATCTTTCAGTTCTCAGGAGCTGGTAATATTACGAGATGATCTTCAGCAAATCGAATGGGGAAAAATGACAATCCTTAATTATATCTATGCAGAGACCAGTTGTTAAAGGAAAGAGACTTAACATGACTGCGTGTTCTTGTGCAGGTACGTGGACATGGCAGAGTGTGCGTACCAATGCCACCACAGATGTGTTCCTGGCAGAGCTGCGTGAGGCCACCTGGTATGAGCTGAAGATGAAAGCGTGCAACAGCGCTGGCTGTGGAAACCAGAGCTCCCAGTTTGCAACACTGGACTATAATGGAAGTGAGTAGAAGACCCTGTTTATTGGCAGTCTATCTGAATAAATGGTATTATATACTGCTTTAATAAGAAATCCATTTAGTAAGTGCCTTATAATATTTCCATGGAAGAATAATAACTAATCTCCTCTCTTCCTGGGTGTGTACAGGCACAATTCCTCCAATTAAATCTCCCCTGGAAAAGAACGACGATGTCAAGAAGCTGTTTTCTATCGGCTGCCCTGTGATCTTGGTCACTCTTGGTGTTGCACTGCTCTTCATCATTCGCAAGAAACGCAAAGAAAAGAGGCTGAAGAGACTAAGAGGTGAGAGGAGACGAGACAAGTGTTAGGAATGAATTGGCTCAAAGAGAGAAACAGCCTTCAGAGAGATTCCTGAAGCAGAAGCAGGATTCAGAGAGAATCTTGAATTAAGTCTCTAGAGTTGCCTTTAAAAGACTGGTTTGTTTGTCAGGAGCAAAAAATAATTGTTTATATCCTCTGCTCTCTCTAGATGCCAAAAGCCTGGCAGAGATGCTGATCAGGTAAGACAAAATCAGTCACAAACATTATTGAGTATAGCTCAAAATTTGCTTCATGAATACACATTTTGCATTTTCCTTAAAAACCGTGAATGATTGTGTGTGCTTGTCTTGTATCTGTGGATTATTAGTAAAAACAACCGCAGCTTTGACACCCCAGTTAAAGGACCTCCTCAGGGCCCACGGTTACACATCGACATCCCCAGAGTGCAGCTGCTAATTGAGGACAAAGAAGGCATCAAGCAAATTGGTGAGAGGAATGGAGATAGAGAGACACAGAGAGTTGTTGTGTGTTCATATGTTTGCAAAGTGCATGGGGTTAAATGATCATTGCATGATATTATGGACAAAGGCATTAGACCGTTTGTTGGTTTACTGACCTACAATCATTCTTTATCTACCAGGCGAGGACAAGGCCACTATCCCTGTGACGGACACAGAGTTCAACCAAACTGGGAATCCTCAGAGCTTCTGCACTGGTGTGTCTGTCCATCATCCTGCCCTCATCCAGAACACCGGACCTTTGATCGACATGTCTGACATCAGACCAGGAACCAGTATGTGCTCTCACTTCCATTTTGTCAATAAATGCATAAATTAACTGAAGCATTATTATAAAGTGTAGTGCAAGCGCCTTATTCTCAGTAAATGCAGTGCGTAGTGTAGGAGTTTTTTGCTGAATTCATGCTTCGATTTTAAGTCAATGTCAGGTTATCAGTAAATATATAAGATGGTTGTTATCATGTATGCATTTTTTCATAGACTGCTGAAATCCTGTGGAATCAAAATGTGAAGATGGATTTTTTTTTTTTTTTGACAAATGCTTGTTCATTTTTCTGCCTTCATGCACGTGCCCATCCCTGTTATTTCTTTGTCCACTTACCACCAGACCCAGTGTCGAGGAAGAGTGTTAAGTCAGCCCACAGCATCAGGAACCGCTACTCCAGTCAGTGGACTCTGACCAAGTGCCAGGCGTCTACGCCAGCCCGAACTCTCACCTCAGACTGGCGCACAGTTGGCTCCCAGCATGGCATCACTGTCACAGAGAGTGACAGCTACAGTGCCAGCCTCTCACAGGACACAGGTTGGTACCCAGGCAATAACTCAGCTCTTAACATCTATACCAAAGGCTATTTTTAAGTAGATGAGCATGTGAGGCTACATCTCAGTGGCGTTTATAAACCTGGATAAAATGCGCTTCATTTCCTCTCCTTTCTCTTCCACAGATAAGGGACGCAACAGCATGGTGTCGACAGAGAGCGCCTCCTCCACCTACGAGGAGCTGGCAAGAGCGTACGAGCATGCCAAGCTGGAGGAACACCTGCAACATGCCAAATTTGAGATTACAGAGTGCTTTATCTCTGACAGCTCATCTGATCAGATGACTACAGGTACCAATGACAATGCAGACAGCATGACGTCCATGAGCACACCGTCAGAACCAGGTATCTGCCGTTTCACTGCCTCGCCACCCAAACCCCAGGACTATGACCGTGGCAAGAATGTAGCTGTGCCCATTCCACACCGCGCCAAGAGTGAGTGGTTGCTTTTCATTGTTTCTTTGGCATTTGAAATGGAAAATAGAAAAGGTTCAAATTGTGCTATGAATACTGCGGAATCAGTAAAGTAATAGAGTTTCATAGATAACAAAAGTGTACTAAGACTATGGTAGATACCAGTAATTATTAGACAATAATATACAAACACTTACAAGCAAAATATACCAACTCATAAATCCAGGGGTTTATATTAATGCAGTGCAAATGTTTTAGTGTGCACCTCTATGAAAAGTGTCCATAACTGCCTTTGCATGAGGGCATTATTGTAGCAAAACTATTTGTCCATGCGAATGGAGAGTTGTCTGTCCGTATCTCACTCTGTGTGTATGAAGTAAGATTTGTCAGTGTGTAAAAGAAGTTGTTAGTGTGAACCGGGATTTGTCTGTCTGTAATTAGGCACTCAAATGTGTAAAAAATCTGCTCATCTGTCTTAAAATTTATTCTTGTAGTAAGAGTTGTCAATACGTACAAAGAGTTGTCAATACGTACAAAGGTATTAGAAGTTGAAAAATCTACGTATTCGAGTACAAATGCTGAAAATACAGACAAATCACCCGTTACGAGTAGAGCGGCTTCACCATTGGCTGTCTTTTTACACATGGCTTTTGCTACACTTTTGCTGGGAGAGCATCTGAAACTTAAGAGTATCTGAAAATCAGGGTTTTTGTGTCCTGAGCTCAGGCTCACAGGATTGTCCATTGTGGCTGCTACTGCTCCGCTGTGCTCTACCTCAGTAGTTATCAGGCAGCGCTGTGCATCAGAGTCATGAACAAATAGTTTTGCTACAATAATGCCCTCATACCTTTGACTTTTGCAGGATTTTGTAGTTTCATTACATTTTACCTTTCCCCTCCAGGTGACTACTGCAACCTACCCCTCTACATGAAGTCAGATCCCTTTTTCCGAAAGCAGTCAGAGCATCATGACCCATGTCCAGTGGTTCCACCACGTGAAGCCTCTATTCGTGGCCTGGCCCAACGGGCATACCACACCCAGGGCCGTCATGTGACTATGGACTCTGCGAAGCAGCAGGCCCTAACTATGGGCCACTCTGGCCTGTCCAACCTCACTTCCTCTGGGGCTTCCTCTGGAGGAGCGACAGGAGGCGGTGGTAGTGGAAGTGGAGGGGCGTCTGCTAGCTCTAGCAGCTCCACACTTCCCCAGAGGACTCTCACCATGCCTGGCTCCTCTGCCTCGGTGGCCCAGAGTGCAGCGGCAGCTGCTGCTGCTACTGCTGCAGCTGCTGGGGCATCATCCTCCGGTGGAGGTGGGGCAGCAGGGGCCACAGGAGGGACCCCTGGAGGTGCCTCCTCATCTTCCTCCAAGATGGGAGGATCCAGAGACTCTCTCCTGGAGAGCAGCTCCTCGGGCTTAGGCAGACTGCAGAAGCAGAGGGATGGAGGGGCAGGGGCCTACTCCAAGTCCTACACACTGGTGTAGCCTGCCATCACTGCGGCCTGTCACTGTAACTCTTAATAGAATGCTGGTCAAGCCAGCGCTTGCCTGGAGCCTCTATGGAAAATTGGGGTGAGGAACATACACATGCACAGCTTACCCGTCAGTGCCTGCGCTGTGCCAGGCTGCAGGGGGCTGGTTGGGTTCCCATTGACACTACTGTATGAAGGGGTCAGAGTTGGGTCTCCACAGCACAGGGGTTTGCCTTTCTTTCTGCCTGAATGCTTTCTGTTATTATTGTGTCATTTTTCTCTCTTTTTTCATCACCCTGGAAATCACTTGCCAAAACATAAAAGATTTTTCTGTTCACTCCATACTTTCATTTTCCGGCAAGGACACAGTACTTATGCACAAAATGCTTTCCACGTGCACTGTCTTGTTTTCTGGATCAAGACAGTCATAGAATGAACCAGGTTGCTTGAGTTTCACACAGATGTGTGTTTAAGGTATTTAGGTTTTTAAATGTTTCTTTTCTGGCCTCTGATGGAAAAGGAGCTCATATCACAGCATTGTGCCATGGCAGGATGCTTTTACTGTATGCATAAACCACCAACCTTGGTGTTACACTGGCTCTGAGAGGTTACTCCATCATGGATTCATACATTAGAGGCAGTGGAAGGACTTTGGTCTCAATATCAGATTTGAGACAAGGGGAATTTTCTTATACATGCAATGGATGACACAGCATAGTGGTCTTAACTGATGCTTTTATAAACGGACTCAAAGCAGAGAAGATAAAAAATGTCAAGCATCACTAAGTGAAAGATGAATCCAAACCCTTCTTCTTTTTATTTTTTTCATCGGTTTGCTGTTTATTTTCAGATGATGGAAATATAATCTCATGTGCACTAAGAAAAAGTTAGAATGGATCCAAGTAACAGAAAACTTCACAAGCCTGCGTGTGTGTGTGTGTGGGTGTGGGTGTGGGTGTACATGTGTAAATATATATGTATACATGTGGCAGGCACACACCAACAATGGACCTTTTTAAAGTCAATCTGTATGCTGACCTCTCGGGCAGACGTCTGTGTCAAAACTGAACCCCCCCATTGTTCATTTTGTACCTGTGAAAGGGGACATGGGACAGTGATGATGATGATGATGATGATGATGATGACGATGATGATGATGATGACGATGATGATGATGACGATGACGATGTAACACTATGATCCTAATTTGGTCCAGCATTTTGAACTTTTGTTTTGTTAACTGTGATCAACAACATGGCTTAGGAAATGGAAAAATGCCGAAGCAGAGGTGGGTTCAAAAGAGAGCAATTGCAGATGATACGAAATAGGTTCCTCCTTTTTCTCTCTCTCTCTCTCTCTCTCTCTCTCAAAGGAAAGAAGGAAGAGACCCTTTTATGATTCATCATGGTGCCACAATACCATTATTCTTCTGTCTTAACTCATTTTACCTGTACCACCTCTATCCCTTTCTGTCCTTTCCCCCACCATCACTTCGACTCACACAGTCCCTCATCATATCCATACAGCGTCACTGTGACCTACTGCTAGCGTAGCGGCTAGTTAAAACGACAGACTGAGAGAAGAGGTCTAATATGCACAGACAGGCAGAAATGCTATTTGACGTTCAGTGACAACTTGAACGGAAAGACAACTTACAAACGTACAGCAAATTTATAGAGATGTATAAAAAGAAAATCATATTTGTATGATCTTGACTTTATGAACAGGCAGTGACTTTGAGATTATAGTCAGAGTGATCAAGTGTTAGGAATCTGAGTAGCAGAGAGACAAGAAATAAGTGGTCTTCAAAACTTTAAAAAGTCTTTTCAAGTCCCTCCACCTCACTGAAATTGATTTTTAGCTTTATGCATGGTACTGTATCTTTTTTTTTTTCATTTCTTCTCCCAAAGGTTAATCCCATAACAAAGATCGTTCCAAAAAAAGAAATAAATAAATAGAAGAGTTGCTCCAAATGTTTTGCAATGATAAAACGTTAACATCAGGGCTCTCGCAATAGAAAAAAAGAAAAAGATATGATATATGTTTGTTTTCAAAAGTATGTACATATATATTTCTATTCAAATATATAGCAAATATATGAATATTGAAAAAAGCAGAGAAATATAAAAGCCGTTCTAATTGAAAATATATATAAAAGATCACAAGACAATCGCTCAGAGTGAAAAAATTGCAAGACGGAAAGAAGAAAACGAAGAGGGAAGTTTTAAACGGGTAGCACAACCATGGACGGAAGATCTTGGAGAGAAAGGAAGTGGTGTGAAAGAAAGTTAAGTGGTGAAACTGAGGTTTGAGGAATGATACGACGACGCCCTTGTGATTTTGTAAATGTTCCGGCTGCAGCGCCTGTGCAGCAGGTGGCAGCTGAAAGGACAAGCACAGTAAAGTCAAATTATAGTGTGAGATTGTTGTCGCTGGTTAACTGTGGTCTATGGCTCAGTGCAGAAAGTGTGGTGTTGAAAAAGAAAACAGTAAAACAAGGACAGCCTATACATTAAGTGAGCCTCTTGTAATATGTTGTATTGTACCTTCCAAAGGTGTGTTCACAAACTCAATGCCATTACCGAACTTAGAATTCATGAAGACAAACAGACCGACAAGTATTTCTGTTTCTTATCTGTGTCATAGCAGGTCCTCCCCAAACTCCAGGACTGCAGGCCAATGAACATACCACACAGTAAAATTACAACTGCTGATAAATGTATTCATGCTCCCTTTTATTTTTCAACCAGACAGGAGAGACATGTGTTTTGCTTTTCATTGCTAACGGTTACGATGCCTTTCATTTTGGCCTTTATGTTTCAAGTTATGCAAATGCTTGTCTTTAGAAAAACATGAGTTTGGGAATGAGGCAGGCCTGTTTCCACGACAGAAACAGCAGCCTCCTTACTCCAGTTGTATGGATATTGGTTGGAGTGATGAAATAAACTTCTGTCCAACCTGCTTTCCCCAGTTCTTAGTGAAGTTGCTTCTACTGTGTAACACTGATCTTCTGTCAGTTTGCTCAAAGTAAATGTCATGTCTGTGTTTAAAGAAAATTCCACCCTCTGATAGTTTGACATGGATTCTGTGTTGATTATCAATCAACAACGTTTCCAGATTGAAATGGAGGAGTTCTGTTTTACTATGATATGTAATTTATGTGTTATTGTTTAAAAATTTTAACTTGACTCTTGCAAAATACATATTACTGCAGAAGCACTTTTGGTGAATGATACACTAGGTTTTTTTTGTCCTTTCAGGCATAACACATTATGAGGCTCAAATAATGTCTTTGCACAGAAGTTGGGCGAAATCTTACTACTATATGAAAAGCAAATTGCAATGAAATTGCTAGCCATATTACAGTTTACATTCCGGTGTAAAACTGGCTTTGCAAAGAAAACATGAATTATGGTTAGTATACATGTAATTATTTGAATATTTAAGAATGAAGTCTTTAGTATGTGACATATACTTGCACAGCTATTTAAAGAACATAAAAGGGCAAAAGAGATCCAAAATTGCATATATAGTTTTTGCAATTATTTGCAATAATTTCTTGGGATCAGTTGGACGATTACTTAGCCAGTTTTCCAAAATTGTTTAAATGATTCACAGTGTTTAAGTGTTCTTGGGTGGATTTTTCCTTAAAACACAACAACATACTTTCAAACTGACGTTTCCTGTGTTTGTAAGGCCAACTTCACATGTTCCACTTTCCCGAACCTTTTCCACATCTGCTAACCAATCAGAACCCCTCCCCCCTCCCTCACTGTACCCTTTTGCCCACCTATACGACATAATTTCTACTCCATAATAGAAGACTTGTGTACATAGGAAAGTGTTTTGTATAAATGAGTACTATTTTCGACATCTTCACTAAAAACCAGGGCACAATGTAAACTTTGAACTGAAGTTATTGTAATGAAACAGAAGAGGACTTAATGAAAAACTATAGAATTATACAGACACTGCTTTATCTTGATTTTATGGACCAGTTAAAACATGTCAGAGTGGACCATGCATAGTTAACAATATTGGTTCCTTCCTTTACAGGGAATTTGGTTGCGTTGTCTCTTTTTTTCTTTTTATTTATTTTAATTGAGTTTTTTTGGTTTTGACTTTGTTCCAGGTTGCTTAATTTAGAGTTTGTTTTTTTTTCCCTTTTTTTTTTTAGTATTCCACTTTTGGGGGGGAGGGGCAGCAGCATTGCATGTTCTGAAAATTTTGCTGGTATTAAAAGAATAGGGGAAATGGTGAATTGAACAATTTAAAAGGGGTTTAATGAAAACATTTTAAAAATCCAGAGGTTGTTCCTTGAACTTTTATGGGGAAACGTTGCTTCAATTTGCAATTGCTTGTGTTTAACTCTACATTTTCTTTTCTATGAAAACAAACAAAAACGGAAAAAAGAGTACTCAACACCTTGTGCAATAAAGCTATCTTTTTATAAACTGTGATGATCTTGTTCATTCTTTTAGAACAATGTAGCGTTTGATAACTGGATGAAGGGTTTTTACTATAAACATGACGAGGACAACACTGACTAGTTCGTAAAGGAGTTTGACACATTGCTGTCTTGAAAACCAACAAAGCTCACTGTGAACGTATCTCATGGGAACTGTTTCTTATGGAAGAAGTTTAGGTGGAAAATGGAAACAGCGATGTTTGTCAGTTTCAGAGTGATGAGGATAGTGGTTGAGGAAAAACAGACATTTCATTCTTAGGTAGGAATTTTAACATTGAATGCTGCAAGTAGCACAAATTAACTCCCATCTGCATCTTTCGCATTGCAGTAGAGGAGGTAATCTCAAGGTTACAACTAAATTTGTGCAAACTAAACCCAAACTTATCTGCATGCAATGCTGCAAGAGGTGGGTGAAAAAAAAACAGAAAACAAGGTAAAATGTGAACCAACTCTTTGACATCTATGATCTCTAATCTCATGTCAAACCATTGAATTATAAACGCGACTTAAGATCATCTACATGATTTATCTTCAGTTTTACCTTC